CGCGGTTTAGACCTAATTTTTCGAGCTTTTAATACAGCAATAACCTTATGGGTTACATAATTTTAAAGGGCATGAAATGGGAAAGCTTTTTACGTAATTTGACAAAACATCACATTAGTATGTATAGTTGTAAAACCACTTTGAAGTTGTAAAGAATTAATTTTGAAACTTCTTTTTTTATGTTATGTGAGACATACAACGGTGAAAATATGGTTGTATGTTAAAGGTGTTGCAATGGTTTTGTAGGAAATTTAACGCTCTTTTCATTTTTATAAGTTATTATGCTGTACGTGTATTGGCTTAATTTTTATGCTTGTTTTAGTGAAGCTACTACAGGTAATTTAAAAAATTCACATAATCGACCATTACAGCATAACGGGTAGGGATGGAAAATTATTGTTTGTCATTTTTTGTTCCTTTTAGTGAGTAGAATAACTGGTAAAAATTAACGCACTTAGTAGAAACTCACCCTGTATAAAAACATCATTTCGCACCGTATTGTCATTGATTTGTGTTTCCGACATCCCTGCAAAACACGTTTGTGGCGTCCGCAGGCGTACCAACCCACATCTATTACAAACCGAAACTTTTCCTGACGCAAATTCCTATAAACCATATAGATTTTGCCTTATAGCTTCGTAATTCACAGGACTGCCGCAATCATATTTACCCTGAGTATTCTACACATTGTATATTACCATTAGAATACCTCAAAGTTGATGTGATGGGCTCAGGAAAAAGATTGTGCACTTTTCCTTATGCGAGTTCCTATCAACCATATACATTTTGCCATATAACTTCGTAATTTACAGGACTGCCGCAATCATACTCATACTGATTATTCTACACATGGTATATTACCATTAGAATACCTCAAAGTTGATGTGATGGGCTTAGGAAAAGGATTGTGCACTTTTCCTGATGCGAATTCCTATCAACCATATACATTTTGCCATATAACTTCGTAATTTACAGGACTGCCTCAATCATATTTATACTGAGTGTTCTACACATTGTATATTACCATTAGAATACCTCAAAGTTGATGTGATGGGCTTAGGAAAAAGATTGTGCACTTTTCCTGATGCGAGTTCCTATCAACCATATAGATTTTGCCTTATAGCTTCGTAATTCACTGGACTGCCGCATGCTCATACTGATTATTCTACACATTGTATATTAGCATTAGAATACCTCAAAGTTGATGTGATGGGCTTAGGAAAAAGATTGTGCACTTTTCCTGATGCGAGTTCCTATCAACCATATACATTTTGCCATATAACTTCGTAATTTACAGGACTGCCGCAATCATACTCATACTGATTATTCTACACATGGTATATTACCATTAGAATACCTCAAAGTTGATGTGATGGGCTTAGGAAAAGGATTGTGCACTTTTCCTGATGCGAATTCCTATCAACCATACACATTTTGCCATATAACTTCGTAATTTACAGGACTGCCGCAATCATACTCATACTGATTATTCTACACATGGTATATTACCATTAGAATACCTCAAAGTTGATGTGATGGGCTTAGGAAAAGGATTGTGCACTTTTCCTGATGCGAATTCCTATCAACCATACACATTTTGCCATATAACTTCGTAATTTACAGGACTGCCGCAATCATACTCATACTGATTATTCTACACATGGTATATTACCATTAGAATACCTCAAAGTTGATGTGATGGGCTTAGGAAAAGGATTGTGCACTTTTCCTGATGCGAATTCCTATCAACCATATACATTTTGCCATATAACTTCGTAATTTACTGGACTGCCTCAATCATATTTATACTGTGTGTTCTACACATTGTATATTACCATTAGAATACCTCAAAGTTGATGTGATGGGCTTAGGAAAAAGATTGTGCACTTTTCCTGATGCGAGTTCCTATCAACCATATACATTTTGCCATATAACTTCGTAATTCACTGGACTGCCTCAATCATATTTATACTGAGTGTTCTACACATTGTATATTACCATTAGAATACCTCAAAGTTGATGTGATGGGCTTAGGAAAAGGATTGTGCACTTTTCCTGATGCGAGTTCCTATCAACCATATACATTTTGCCATATAACTTCGTAATTCACTGGACTGCCGCAATCATATTTATACTGAGTATTCTACACATTGTATATTACCATTAGAATACCTCAAAGTTGATGTGATGGGCTTAGGAAAAAGATTGTGCACTTTTCCTGACGCAAATTCCTATCAACCATATAGATTTTGCCTTATAGCTTCGTAATTCACTGGACTGCCGCAATCATACTCATACTGATTATTCTATACATTGTATATTAGCATTAGAATACCTCAAAGTTGATGTGATGGGCTTAGGAAAAAGATTGTGCACTTTTCCTGATGCGAGTTCCTATCAACCATATACATTTTGCCATATAACTTCGTAATTCACTGGACTGCCGCAATAATACTCATACTGATTATTCTAAACATTGTATATTACCATTAGAATACCTCAAAATTGATGTGATGGGCTTAGAAAAAAGATTGTGCACTTTTCCTGACGCAAATTCCTATCAACCATATAGATTTTGCCTTATAGCTTCGTAATTCACTGGACTGCCGCAATCATACTCATACTGATTATTCTATACATTGTATATTAGCATTAGAATACATCAAAGTTGATGTGATGGGCTTAGGAAAAAGATTGTGCACTTTTCCTGATGCGAGTTCCTATCAACCATATACATTTTGCCATATAACTTCGTAATTCACTGGACTGCCGCAATCATATGTATACTGAGTATTCTACACATTGTATATTACCATTAGAATACCTCAAAGTTGATGTGATGGGCTCAGGAAAAAGATTGTGCACTTTTCCTGATGCGAGTTCCTATCAACCATATACATTTTGCCTTATAGCTTCGTAATTCACTGGACTGCCTCAATCATATTTATACTGAGTATTCTACACATTGTATATTACCATTAGAATAGCTCAAAGTTGATGTGATGGGCTTGGGAAAAAAGATTATGCACTTTTTATGTTCGGAGTTTTAATTGATCGCGTTATGTTAAGCCATAGCTACGTATAATGTACACTACGGTCTCAAATATGCCTTTTAAAATACGTCAATTAATTAGTTTTAACTTGTATACACGTTTTATCAATGTATAATTGACATTATATAAATATAAAAACATCATTTCGCACCGTATTGTCATTGAATTGTGTTTCCGACATCCCTGCAAAACACGTTTGTGGCGTCCGCAGGAGTACCAACCCACATCTATTACAAACCGAAAAAGCGCCGATGAAAAGAGCCGCTAACTTCACGACGGTTAGATTAAGCATACTCCCACCATAGATAAAACAAAGTTCCTTGGCTCCCACTCCCTTGGGGACTGGGGAGTGAGGATTCTTAATCAATGGTAATATTGCGTAGGGTCTTATGCTTTACAGTGGCGAATGGCATAGCTTAAAATCAGTTATAAGCTATGCCACACTTTCACGAAAAATTATATAAGCCATGCCACAATTTCTTCAAACTGTTTTCAGGTATGAAACATTTTAAGTTTCAGACTTATTATGGTCAAAGAGTGTCGCAGCATATAATTCCGATTTTGTTCTATAGCTTATAATCATGAATTTTAATCATAGCTTACAATTCTGATTGTGTGTCATAGCTTATAATTGAAGAGAATGTTTCATTGTGGGAACGGCAACACTGCCACTCGCTTTTTTTTTGTCCCACTAGCATCGCTCCTTTGACGTGGTCGTCAAAATGGGTGGAAAACACATAATAGAATAATTATGTGAAACGCGTTTAATTGAACAGATCTTCTACTTTAAAATATGCCGCTTCAAAATAGGTTTCCTATGGATTCATTTTAGAACGTCTTTAGTAACGTTACAACATTCATCAGTCAAAATGATTATACAAATCGTAACTCAGTTGAGAGGTGTAGATGTGGTTCAGAGCCCGCAGATGTGATACGTGCATGGACGAATATGAAACGCAAGCGCCTGTGTCACCTCTACGCAGTTGTTGCTCATAAAATACACCACAATTAACATTGTAATGTTCAGAGTTTTTGATAGAGTGCAGCAGTGGACGGTGTAACAAGTTCCCACGCTACCTCCACCTATACCGTGTGGAACCGAAGCATCTCTCCTCAGTCGTTTCCCGTCATGTGCCGTGCAAAAATTATTTTAATCAGCGTGCATCTCTATCTCTCCGCGATGACCTTCCGTTCTTAATATTATTATTATTATTATAAAGTGATGTTTAAAGGTATCTAAATGGTGACAAAAGTGTAGTTGTAGTATTTGGCTTTGTAAGTTCGAATTGAAATTTGTCTTTGGTGCTTGGTGTAATCAAAATTTTTGTGTAATAAATTATCGTTTTTCTGTAATCGTTTCCGAGTTCGTTATCAACCAACATACTTCGCACTGGGTGCCTTGATTGACGACGTGAGCTCGCGCTACAGTAAGATCGTTCATAAAGACAAGGAACAGCACCGGGCCGAGGACTGACCCCTGACTCCTGAGGCACGCCTCGAGCTGACTCGCAATGGGGCGAGTGGTGTTGTGCATTGTGCATGTGTATAATATAAAGAAGATTTCCTCAACTTTAGCGATCAGTGTCACCGGACATGAACTAGACATGAAAAACGAGCTTCACAATTTACAATGGGATGAGAAGTCTACTTGTGTTGGTTAATCCATAGATAAAACATAGTCCCTTATAAAACATAATCCTGGAGGAGTATGTTTTATCTATGGTTTAGTTTTTGAGTCTATTTTGTGTTTTTTTTTATGCGCGTGCTTCAGGTGGCTTCAGGCTTCAGGCTTTTTTTTACTTGTTACTTGATTTTGAGTGTTGCGTTGAGTCTGAGTCTGAGTGGTGGTTTTAGTTTAGTGTTCTTCGTTTCGTTCGTTTTCGTTTTCAGTTGAGTTGTATTGTACTGAAGTTGGCGAATGGCGATTGTGATTGTGGGAAAGTGGGATTGTGTTTGTGTGTGTTGTGAGTGAATCGAGAGATAGAGTAAATAACAGAGTTTTTCTGAAATTGACATTTATTAGAATATACTATTGTTTTCCTTATTTTGGGAGGATTCGTCAAACGATGCCCTACACGATTAGTTAAGATTCTTGAGGTAATTATTAATTTAATTTTATAGCTATTGTCTCTTTGTGTGGGCTATAGCCTAGGCCTAACTTACCTACATCTGCCTCTTCTAACTAGCCTGTGAATAGGCCTTTTAAAATTAGCATTGAATAAAACTATCCTTAAGTTCTCTTTTGTTGGAAAGAGTTGGTCAGATATAGGCTAACTTACTTAGGTGTATAAGTAGGCCTACCTATTTTCTCATAGGATACATTGAAGGTTTGAAGTTATTACTTAGCTTAGGCCTGTTTTGAGTGGACCACTTGTTTAAGAGAATCGATCTTAAGTTTTTACCTGATATTCATTTGATCATTTGGGTAGGCCTACACTTCCATAATCTGTTGGCACAAACAACGGAATGAAAATATTGATCGATTCAAATTATAAACAATAGAATAATCGGGTAGACTTCCGTATCTGTTGGCACAAACAACCGAATGAAAATACAGATACGGAACCATTAGGTAAGGTTAACCTAACCAAACGATGTATCGAATGAAACAATCGAATCAAATAATCGATATTTTCATTCGGTTGTTTGTGCCAACAGATACGGAAGTCTACCCGAATAATTAATATTACTCATTCGGTTTTCAAGGTATTTTAAGGTGCCTAGGTAATGCATAGAGTACTATGCATTGTTGAGTCTAAATCCTTGGTGGCTAATTTAGGTCTAGGCGTAAGCCTAGGCAAACTTGGACGGCTGTCTAGGATAGCCACCTTCATCTTTACCCCCTATCTTGGGTATCTATCTTTTACCCAATTCGGGATCATCTGTGTCATAGGCCTGACAAAAAACAATTATAGGCCTACCGGTATCTAGGTTTACTTTAACCGAAACCTGGGTGACACTTACATAAATCGAAACATCCGGTCTCAGAGACCGGACGACTTTTCATCAACAAATTTCATGTAAAATCTTAGATTTAGTGTTTTTTTAAGTATATGTGGGCTTAAGGAAAGTAAAACTTACATTTTTAGTACAAATATGTATTATAAAAGTAACTTAATATTAATTTACAAAAAATGTAATAAAATGTATAATAAACATAAAACATACAATATACCTACTGGAGACATAAAATAAAAAATTAAAATCTTCTCTGAACTTGTCTTTTACATAGGCTACAGTCACAGCCTATGCACACTTTGCGGGTTTTTTGAAAAAAAAGCCTTTGCATAAGCAACTGCCTACAAAAACTGGCAGCGCGATGTACGTTACTCGAGAGATCCGGCACTAGAGACCGGCACATTTTCAAAATGGAGACGTTCACTCAATGACCGCTGATTGGGGACTGATGCTGATGGGTGGGGTAGGGAGAAGAGTAGGAGAGGCAAAGGTAGGCCTACTGAGGGGTAGGGGTACGCACGTCCAGCTGTTTTGCCACTACAGGAAAATCAATTTTCCGTCCGGTCTCACAGACCGGTGTTTCGGTTAAAGTGAACTTACCTTAAGTTTTTAAAATTCATTGTGACGTTGCTTTTTGACATAAGTTAAAACTTAGTAATTATTTAATTGTATTTTAAACTACACAACATTTATGGAAGTGGATAAATTCCAGCGTTGTCAACACAACTTGTTCATTTTACCCGCAAAATCCGGTGGTAATCCCCGGAATTACCCGGAATCAAGTCTTGATCACCCAAAAAATCCCCTGAATTGTAATTTTAAAGATTTCGGCCAACTTTTTGGTAAAAACCGCGTTGTAACCACGTTGTTTATGGTACCTACATTAAGAGAGTTATTAATATTTATATCATTCTTATATTGTATTGAGCAAAACGACGTTAATCTTTCATTTGAATTGTAAACAAAATCACATATAAAAACTGGCCGTTGGCCGTCCGTAACTAACATTGCATGATTTGCAAGAAACATATTTTTATATCTTAGACCCTACTGTTTTTCGTCACTGCCTACACATGAAAACCAAGTACCGGTACAGCATTGTACCTACAGTAGATTTTGTCCTATTAAATTATTTGTATTTGAAAAAAATATTTTTTAAAGTTGGTACCGGTACAATGAAATCCCCGGAATTTTACCCGGATTTCAAGGAATTCCCCGTAACCGGCAACGCTGATAAATTCCTCCTGGGTAGACTTCCTTATCTGTTGACAAAAACAACCGAATGAAAATATCAATCGATATCGAATGAAACACACTAGAGTCCCACAAACTCGGCGTAATGTGGACTGGAAGGGTGCCGAGTTTGTGAAATGCCGGGTTATTGGGATGTGACGCAAAATTCTAGGGGGGGAATAAACTAGTATTCACAAAATCAGGCTAGGCCTACCCCTAGAACCAGCCACACTCAAATTTCTTCCCCGGGTGCTCAGAAGGAGCCGAGAAAAATCCAGGGGTTGATACGAAGTTGTCACGGCTTTGACTGATCAATTTATTTAAATTTAGTTGAAGGCTCAGAGCTCTAGGAGCGCTCACGAAATCCTGTTTTAGGAAAGACGCTCAGTAGGAGCTATTTCATCCTCACCTACGTCAAAATGTTTTGGTGAATTTTGTCTAGCTTTTAGATCCACTCTGTAGGGCAGGCGAGTATTCTATCCTGGCCAATGTGATAAAATACTCGTATTAGACTTTAAACCATTTAAATGAATATGCGGCGATTGAATTAACAAACTAGGCCTACAGTATTAAAATCCCTACAGAGTCGTCGGGGCCTAATTAGTATACCTAAACGGAGAACCTAGCGTGAGATGCTCTAAAATAAATTTAATACCAATATCTGTAATTAATTGTTTAAATCTTTGAAACACTCCCAAGACTAGGTTCTGTCGTGCCAAAGACGGGGTTTAGAACTCAGGCGACAAGTCTTGGTGTATCAAAACGGTGAAATAAAGGGAATCAATCTAAACGTTGAAACAAAACGACAAATTCAATAAAACAAACGGGGGCTGTTGTAATTTTTAACAAATTAAATTAAACAAAGCCAACTTATGGCCACCGCTAGTCACTGGCAGGTATGAAACAAGTCGGCAAAGTCTACCTATGTTATAAATTTAAGATTTAGAATAGAATAAAAATTAGATCTTCTAAGGTCGAATTTGGAAACGTGGATGCGTATTATACCGGTAAATGAAAATTAACGTATCGTGATTAACTATCAGCTAACCTTCGGAATATCGGCGATCACGTGTAAGCGTAAGTAGTCTTGTAACGACGATGTTACTTCGTAGACGGTGTGCGAACGAATAATTTCTTGAAGTAAAATCCTTTTTTCCCGCCCGCTCGAGGCTTACGTGCTCAAGCGGAGAACTTAAGCACTACTAGACAACAGCTGATCAAATATTCAACTGTTGAGCCGGTCTAGTTTCTTCTGTCGTCAACAAACAAACATCAGTTTGGGGTTATGTCGTCGTGGGCGTTAAATACTTGTAAAATTGGTCGGTTTAACCATAGACTAACCAACACAAGTAGACTTCTCATCCCATTGTAAATTTTGAAGCACGTTTTTTGTGTCTAGTTCATGTAAGGTGACACTGGGCGCTAATGTCGACGAAACTTTGTTTCTATTATTTTATGGTTAATTTCTTGATTTGTGCTTTACTGTTTGGTTATATAACTAGGGGACAAGTTATTGTTTATGATTAGATCGTATTACTTGGTTAAACGAGGTTTTAAATGGCTTTAACAATGGGAAACAAATTGTAAACAAAACACAACCTCTACATAAACCGTACAGAACTAACAATAAAATTGTCTTCAGCTGTTCCATAAGGATGAGAAATCTACTATGGGAGTATGTTTTATCTATGGTTTAACTTAATATGTGAAATGCTGGGCTATTATTAATAAATATGCAGTGTTGGGAAGTAGCGCACTACTTTTTTTGTAGCGTTAGCTGTAGCTACGCTACTTTTAAGATTTTGTAGCTTTAGCTGTAGCTACATTTTTTAAGTAGTTGTAGCGGAATTTTAGCTACTTTTCTCGCTACATTAACATTGTTTTAGTTAGTGATTTTTATGATAACCTCAACCTTACGTGAAACAACCTCTTTCAAACTGAGATTTTCAAAAAAATTAGGCCTACTTTATGGCTAATAAGTAATTTCAGTAATTTTCTCCTAATTTCATGGGGATGTAATTCTATGAAAACTTGGTTTATATTTGGTGTCTATAATGTTGGTCTTCATTTCCTGGTGATGAAGGAAAGAAACAGGCATTGAACTCAGATTCAAACTAGCTTGCTTAGCTGTGAAAACTGTGACTGAAGCTAACCACGAACAGGCCTCTTAAGGTGCGTTTTCCTCCAACTTTAGTAACCACGCTGCGTGCTATGCGGTTAAGCTGAAGAGTGTAGCGTGGATAAGGAACGGGGTGGTTAAAGTAGGACGCTGCGCAAAAGTGTTTTCGTAGAATCGGCCAATATGTTGCGTGACTAGTAAATTTGCGATTCCACAATAGCGTTCTGCTATGGATCGGAGAAAAGAGGTGTCGCTCTTTACTTTCATGTTGATGGTCAAAGATGAAGAGATGGGCGAAAAAGTAGACATAGCCCTAGCTCTACTGTACAACAGGCGAAAATGCTGTAGGGAACTATTTAAATCTATTTTTATAGCTATGAGGGTGCTTTTAGAATTCTTATTACTAAGCATCCGATGGACGATGAAGTAAAATTAGGAATACTTTGACATTAGGCTAACTAAAAATCACTTTCCCCGCCTTCTCGACTTGGTGCATAGTGACATAGCTTCGAAGCCAACAATCAGAATGCAACAGAATTTTATTGACACACAGTCAATTAATGTACTGTCGTCATCACCAGTAAACTTAGTAACATCACTCAAACTAGTTTTCTCCATATTTCTAATGTAAAACATAGCCCAGTTCGGCAGCGTCGTTAACAACTGACTGCTCTCGAAGCAGTTCCCCCAATATTGCTGCACACTTTGATAAAATCGCCTGGATAAAATTTGCCTTATTATTATCTTATATATCTATCAAGTAATTTGCTTACTGTTATAGTTAAAATAACAAATTTTATTTTTCAGCATGGACAACCCTCAGGATTGCTTGGTTACGAGTTCTCAAGACATCATTAAGAAGGATAATGGTGCCTCAACTTCAGGTATAGTCCTCGCCACTCTAACTTGAGGCAGCCCAAGGCTGCAAGCTATATATCTAGTGCAGCCTTGGGCTGCCTAAAGTTAGGGTGCCGAGGACTATCTATATATTAATTTGAAACTGTTTTTCTTTGTCACAGCTATTTTGAGAGAACGGCTGGGCGTAGAAACTCGGTAGAGGTGTCTAAAGAAAGGTCTTGGTCTGTAGATGAGCCATCAAAAGAGAAACATGGTGAATTCCCTTGGGGCTCTGCCCCAGTGGCCCCAGTGGCCTTTGAATTCCCATCCCATGTTATTCTTATGGAGGAAAACGGGGTTTTTGTCACAGCTAATTTGAGAGAACAGCTGGGCGTAGAAACTTGGTAGGGGTCTCTAAAGAAAGGTCTTGGTCTGTAGATGAGCCATCAAAAGAGGAACGAGGTGAATTCCCTTGGGGCTCTGCCCCAGAAGCCTTTAAAGTTGCCTCCATATTTGTTTACATTACGACCATATGCATAATTCTACACTACTTTTTAATGAAACAGCTGTTAATATTTAAATTGTGATTTATTGAATTTGTCAAAATGAAGTACAGTATTTGCAATGGGGTTTTCTGATTTTAAAATGGATTTTCTTCTGCATCGTGTCATGTTTTGCAATATAATGTTCTATTACCAAATCAGTGGAAAATCCTATTATCACAGTAACTCTTTTCTTTTGGAGTTAACTTATATCTATTGTATGGGTTGGTTTCTGCCTTTTTTACCACTTCTTGGAGATTGTACGTAGGTGATATTCGTTGGCATATTGCATCTGTAGACGAAACTTGCCGGGTTGGTGTATAGAATGGAGTAAAAGAGTGAGAAATCCTGGACAATTTTATATAGGCTGAAAATAAAACTGAAAAACAATGGAAACATAGAAATAGTCATAGAACACAACCAAGTAGAAGAATAGAAATAATGGTTTTTTTTCATTTATAATCGTTATTATAGACAACCTAATGCGGCTATGAGAGGGAAAAATTTGTAGAAACACTAAAAAACAAGATCAGCTTTTTGAGAAAAGATAAGATGTTTACAAAAGATTTTGATTATATCTAAATGTTGTGTAGATCGTGAGTATTTCCATAATCTTCGTGAGTCGTCTTTAATGCTTCGCAATTGCTCGAATTCGAGCAACAGGTACACTAGTAATAATTGAACATACAAAAAGTTAACCGGTTAATAATTATACTGTGTTTTCAAGTCGGGGATTTTGCTAAAAAATGTTTAGCAAAAGTTAATTTTATTTTCTTATACTCCGAGATTTAAAGCAATACCATAATAGAAAAGCGAGGAAGTGAATAGCAAAACCTACAATCGCTGTTTTGCTAATTTCAGGGATTTTGCTAAAAAATGTTTAGCAAAAGTTAATTTTATTTTCTTTTACTCCGAGATTTAAAGCAATACCGTAATAGAAAAGCGAGGAAGTGAATAGCAAAACCTATAATCGCTGTTTTGCTAATTTAGGCTTAGGCCTACATGTATTATGTTTTAATACCGAAATAGTCTCATTGTTAGTGTGAAGTAAAATTGATTTAAAATGCAAAACAAAGATAGAAAATGTTTAGTACATGTTTATTTAAGGTAACAGTGGACTTTAATAACTATAATGTTGTTCTTATTTAAATATGTATAAACAAACAAAACGGGTAGACTTCCGTATCTGTTGTCCAAAACAACCAAATGAAATTATCGATCGATATATTTATTATTCGATTTATCGTTTGGTTAGTTAGGTTAGGTTAACCTAACTAATTAAAAGATATATAGAATGAAACAATCGATAAATAAATATTTTCATTCAGTTGTTTTTACAACATATACGGAAGTCTACCCATTACCAACAAAACATGATTTGAATGACATATTGAAAAATATGGTCTTTTTGAGAATTAAATGTATTGTATGTATGTAGGCCTATATAAAATTATGTGTTTTTACACAGTAAGATTTAACTTAACATCTCAAATGAAGTTTTTATTACAGGCAATTCTGTGGCTATCTTCCAGACCAAAAATAGCAAGAAGAAAAAATCCAAAGGTGGAATGGAGCAGTTTTCATGGTTTCATAGTTTTCAGAAACAGTGTCAGTCTTTATTGGGAAACACTAGCATGAAAGATCTCCTCAATGCTATAACAGTGTACACAGAGTAAGTCTTATCTTTAAGCTACTTACTTAGGTAGTCTGATTCTGTTCAGAATCACCCAACAGTAGTTACAGTAGAAGTCCCATTTACCCGAATCAACTGAGACTGTACCACATTCGTCACAGGCCTATAGTGAAAATAGCCTACTGGAATAGGATACTTGGATCTTTTTACACCCTTTTACCCCCTCGTCATGATGAACATTTTAAGTATATGGTTTATGGGGGTGTGACTTGTAGTTTTCTAAAAAGTTCATGGGTACTTTTTGCTTTATGTAGATGTCAACAACTTGGAAACTTTGATCAGTTATGATCCATTTCCTTATGGGAATTCAAAAATTCGTTGAACTGCTCACCTACACTATGAAAGTAAATTTCTCAAATTTAAATATAGTGTTTCAAAGGGCTATAGTTTGGTATGTGCATTGATTTAACTTTCACTATTATTTATATTTTGATAACATAAAACTGCCCAGTAGTGATGGTCAAAACCAGAAATTTCAAATCTCAAAACCGAAACCGAAACTTTAAAAAATCTAATCCCGAATCTCGAATCTCAAAACCTAAACGTGAAACGTGAACCTAAACCTCCTGAAACATGAACCCTAGCCGCTCTCTCTCCGACGCTTCATTGTTGGATGATAATTGCATGTTCTTTTTCGTTGTAGAGTACTGTCACTTATTGCATTACTATTTCTTAACTGCTGAAAGTCATTTAAATGTACTTTCCACTCATACAAATATAATTAAACTTAATTGCACCATTAATTTAATTCAATCTTTATAGCAACTTAGCAGACGCACAGGCACAGCATGTATGTCTGCTAATTCCAGAACTAAATAGATAGGAAAAACCTTTGACACATGTATATAGTTAAGTAGTTATAGTTAATTAGTTTAGTTTTTCATAAAACCTTTTTCTTTTTTGTGTATTTGGTTGTGTAATTTTATATGTGTGGTGGAATAAATTCATTAATTCATTCACTTTGGCTGGTTACAAAGGTCAAGGTTACAAAAACTACACATAATCATAAAATGCTAAGTATGCAATCAAAACTGAAAGAGATCGACTCCTCCTGACCGTGACATATACAGTATGTGAATGTGACTGATAATCTTAAAACCCAATACAACATAATTTTTTATGAACAACCAACAAAAAAATTATTTAAACTTCTAACACCAACATAAATATGAATATTAGATTAATTAGAACATTTAGTGGTCAATATTTCTTTGTGTTTAGTAATAATTTATGTGAAACTGAATTGGACCAGTTATAGTATTTAAGATACCTTTTGAAGTTCAGAATAAAATTTACTTATTTCATTACTGTTATGTGATGTTTGCTCTGATGCTACCAGCTTGTTTGAAAACAGTGTTAAAAACAATAACAATGGCACAAAAAAAAAATATCAGCAGTTTCAAAAATAAAACTGCCAAAATCTTCAATTTTGAATCTCGAAACTTGGTGATCGAATCTCGAAACCAAAACTTTTCCTAAGTTTTGATGGTTTTTAGATTTGATATTCGGTTTTGACACATCACTACTGCCCAGGCTTAGTGGTTGGATTTTTCCATCCCCCACACTGGCTTCAAAAATTTTCCCATTTATATTTCATTTTCTTAAACATTTAACTTTTTCCTTGTTTGAATCAAAAGCAGATTTATTTACTTTTTAGGTTTCTTGTTTAGGTCTTTTTAGTTAATGCCATTCAATGTACATTATTAATGTATGCCTCAAGAACAGACATTACTTTCTACCAAGTCTCAGGTTTTGATGAACAGATAAAGACAATGTTTATCCAATTTTAGATTTGGCAGGATATTTGATTTTTATCTAGTTTTTTTAACTACGTCCTTTTCATTAATTAATCCTAAAACAAACAAAATGATTTCAGGCACATATCGAGAGATGTAGAGGCAAGCTATTCAAAGCCTAACAGAGCTGCCAAATTGAAGTCACACATGATCTCTGTTTTGAACTTTTTCCACAACCAATATATACTCATCAAGCAAGTAAGTACATTCTGAAATATGCCTTTACCTATAGGCTAAATTGTTTTAACATGTTTGGTCAATTATTTTTAACTTTTAAGTGAGCTACATTTTAAGTGTTATAAGACGCTTCTTTTATTTACTCTCCGTAAATTTAATAACACGTAGGCCTACAATGCTGATCAAGAAGTTATTTAATTATTTTAACAACTTTCAGCTCTTATTTAAAATGTTCAGAACTTGTACATTACCTAATTAAATGTACACATTGTGTGTGGTATCCTTTTTAAGTAGCTTTGCTGTTATGAGTAAGTAGTGCTTTAGAGGATATAACCTTTACTGGTGAGATTTTATCCTTATTTGTTGCCATTCCACCACTACAGTACAATGTTTTTTTTAGACTGGGTCTAGTAGTCGGTAAAAACGGGCAAGTCGGGTTATATTTTGATATCCGAAGTCGGGAAATTTCATGATTTTGTCATGATCGTGCAAGAAGGCGATCACGTTTTCGTGACCGTGGGATACGATGATGATGTCTAGACGGCCGTGGAAAATAAACAGAACTTTGCTGAGATCGCGTTAAACGATGATCACTTTTGTGACGGCGGGAGACCGGGTAACTTCCTGCTCTGAAAACTTATGAAGCTTGTCCCTAAATCCTATTTGATAGTGGTATTCCATTCGCTGTTCCACAGCCATATCTCGTACGGTCTTAAGCTATAGGGTCATGCACCTGACAGCCTCAAGGTCCTACGACAGCAAAATGAGGCTTTGCGTATTATTACAGGGAGTGGTAGAAGGGATAATTGTAGGCCACTATTTGTACGGACGGGCATTTTGACTGTTTAGTTTGCAGTGGCTACATCCTTTCATCTGTAAACTACGTCCATGATAACCTGCAGAAATTCACTACAAGGAGATGTGCACACTTATAATACAAGGTTATAATACAAAATAAGATTGAAATTCCTTTCCGCAGGCTTAGTAAAACTAAAGATGCCTTTCCTGTCATAGCCCTTGAAGCTTTACAACAAGCTCCCTGATCGAATGAAAATTCTTGAAGGCAATAAGTTCGCTTGAAACCTTAAGAGCCACATTAAAGAAAAGCTCTACTATAAGTTAAAGTGAGTTTTTTTCATGACGATTTTGGCAGCCAAAGACCATTGTCCACGCCAGCAGCGGGACATGTATAACGCAAACTTCATAACGGAAGTCTATAATTAGGCTGTAAATATTGTAAATATGTTCATAATTATTATTTTGACGCTGCAAAGGCAAAGGAAGGAGGTAATGAGGAGGTATTGATGTTGTGCAGTTCTCCACTTTTAACCTATCTTCTGCAAAAGTGCTGCGTCCCACTCAAAACTAGTTTTTCATGCAACACCACATTAACAGTGTTGGTGTTAAGTACAGTGGTGATATTTATTTTTTTACTTTTATAAACTTTATTTGGCCAGACAGATGGCAGAAAAATTGGGCAAGATAATTTTAAAATTAGAAAGTCAACTTTTATCATGTAGTATTGTCAACAAGATTAGAGCAAACTTAGCCAATTGTATTAAATTTACAAAACCTGTTTGATTCTAGCCTTTTGAAAATTCAACCTATCTAGAAAAGATGTCAAACCTGCTGACATTTTACTTCGACATGGAAGTGAAAGCATCAAGGTATGTATTTGCTTCTTTGCTCAGCTTTGGTAGTTTGAGATTTTATAACCAAGATTAAAAAAAAAATGTATACTATTTATAGAGTGTTAGCAAACTTGTGAACAAGCCTATTTTCCACTTTCTACTAACTATACAATTTATGGCCGCTTAGTATCTGTTCAAGATGCAGACTAATTTAAGAGACTTATAGCCTCACAGGGTGTCTACCAACTGGGAATCGTACTTAATGGCTGACCGATGGAGATATTCAAGATTTTGTGGCTATCGTGGGAGACGATGATTGAGTTTCTATTACACTATAAAGCTGTAGGCCTACCTTAGTAAATCTTTGTCTCATTTCAATAAATTTCCATTTTGAAACTCCATGCCGACAGATCAGGAAAATATATTTGGTAACAATACCGACAAAGGTAACGTCAAAGTGCCCTTAAATACACGGGAATTGTCCATGAGTTTTTAATCCAGAATGTAGCAGACACCCTGCATAGCTCAAGTAGTGCTGCAAATATGCCAAATGAATTATGTTTAATTGTTGATTTGACACAATTAATGTATCAAGGTCATTGACATAGGCCAACCGACAAACCGACTTATCGCAGGTTGAATATAATCAATACATACTTATTCCGGTTATTTCCACCCAGTCCATCCATCTTGTTATCCTCCCCTCTGTCTCCTTCCTTGGAGCTGAGCCACCAGAAAAAAAAATTTTCAATTTCTGTGAAAACTAATTGCTCCTTTTTTCAGGCGAGGCAAAGAAAGTGTCAAGAAAATTACAAGCAAACTTATTTCTGCTTTATTCATCATGTTGAGTGAGTATGGAACTCTTCCTTATTATATGAGTTAAGTTTACTTTGAGGTGTGCAATCCTGTGATTAAGACTTGTAACATGGGTGTATAACAAAAACAAACCATCCGCAGTATACTAGCAATAACAAAATACATTAGAAAGGTAGAAACATCAGTTGTTACTATTGAGCTAAGATTACACTGAAGATTACTCTATATATGTGAAAATAGTTTCGATCAAATACAGATTCTTTTAACTTGGCTCTCCTACCAAAACTTGTTCCCCGAAGTAATCAGCTGTTTTAATAATTTAAAAAAACTGTTAAAAAACAATGTTTTTGCAAGTATAGGCTAAATCAGAGTGATTTTTACCATCGACTGTAAAATAAATTAATGTGTTGTAATTGCCAGGTAAAATTACCATCATAATAAATTGAAATTCCACTGAAACTTAAATAATAAAAGTCAAAATTAACTGTAAATAAAACATGTTTTTCCATTATATTGCTTTTACAATAGAAATAAACCAACCCCAGGTACTAGTAGTCTATAATCTTTGTTTCTATTCCCGATTCTACTGTAAAAAAATCCTTGTAAAGTAAAAAATCAAATGTAAAATTTATGCTGCTGTATTACAATCTCTGCTGGTGTGGTCATATTAATTACTCCTTCCCACTGCTTGTTATTAAAACAACCCATTGCAAATTATTTTTATACTACACTTATTTGAGACGAGTCTAATTAAAACTCCACAACTTTCCCCAATGTATTGAACTTTTATAAATTTTATATTCTGGTATTTTTTACAGATGATTCTTCGGAGTTCATCTTAGACACCATTTTAAAGGCCCGATTCACTGTTAAGAGCTACAGTGAGATATGTATTCCAATATTCAAGTAAGTTTTTACTTTCTCTCCTTATACATTGTATGGAGAAAGTATTGTTTTCATCAACATTTTCGAGTTTGAGTTTTGAGTGGATCCGTTTTGGGTTCCCCTGAACCCAAAAAAGTGTTTTTGAAATGATGTGTGTGTGTGTGTGGATGTGTACAGAGAGCTACACCAGTGCTCCGATTTTGATGAAATTCAATATGTGTTTTAATCCATTGTATCTCCAGAATTCTTTTAAATTTTTTTCAAATTATGATCTTAAATGGTAATTTACTATAAAACACATAAAATCACAGAAAAATCTAATATTTAAAAACACAGCTTGAACAGTTTTGATGAAAAGATTTTGTATGTTACAGTCATTTAAACTCTAACCAAAGTAGTAAGTAACCCCCGTTGCTCTAAAAATTTCAGTACATAATTTATTGAAACTTTTTATGATTTTCCCCCATAAAACATCATAGTGACTCCCACCGCTAACACATGATTAGGTTTGTTGTCAAGCTAATGGGAGAAATTATGTATTAGATTCCTGTTACCATTTATCTTAGATTCTACTGTTAATACTAGTGATGGTCGGATCCGGATATCGGACTACCGGATCCGCCGGATCCGAGCGAGAACCGGCACCGGATCGGATCCAAAAAATTCCGGATCTTGGGCTGGATCCGGTTTTGATGGATCCGATTTTTTCAAATTTTTTCCCGATTTTTTCCTAACACAAAGCTGTCTGTATCACTGTACAACCCCGATTTTTTTACCAACACAAAGCTGTCTGTATCACTGTACAACACCGATTTTTTTACTTACACAAAGCTGTCTGTATCACTCTACAACCCCGAATGTTTTTACTAGCACAAAGTTGTCTGTATCACTGTACAACCCCGATTTGTTTACTAAACACAAAGCTGTCTGTATCACTCTACAACCCCGAATGTTTTTACTAGCACAAAGTTGTCTGTATCATTGTACAACCCCGAGTTTTTACCAACACAAAGCTGTCTGTATCACTGTACAACACCGATTTGATTACTAAACACAAAGCTGTCTGTATCACTGTACAACACCGATTTTTAACTAACACAAAGTATTATTATTATATTATATAATAATATTATTAGTGTATGTGTATATATATATATATATATATATATATATTATACATATAATATATATTATACATATAATATATATTATATTAGTATTATTATTATTCTATATGTTACAGTGATGTCTGTATCACTGTACAACCCCGATTTTGTTCCTAACACAAAGCTGTCTGTATCACTGTACAACCCTGATTTTTTTACCAACACAAAGCTGTCTGTATCACTTTACAACACCGATTTTTTTACTAACACAAAGCTGTCTGTATCACTCTACAACCCCGAATGTTTTTACTAGCACAAAGCTGTCTGTATCACTGTACAACCCCGATTTGTTTACTAAACACAAAGCTGTCTGTATCACTGTACAACACCGATTTTTTTACTAACACAAAGCTGTCTGTATCATTGTACAACCCCGAGTTTTTACCAACACAAAGCTGTCTGTATCACTCTACAACACCGATTTTTTACTCACACAATAAGCTGTATGTATCACTCTATAACCCCGACTTTTTACCAACACAAATCTGTCTGTATCACTGTACAACCCCGATTTTTCCTGATTTTTTTACTAACACAAAGCTGTCTGTATCCATGTACAAGATCGTTTTTTCCCCGAGTGTTTGTCTCTTGATGCAAACAACTTATATGGCAAGGCCATGTCTCGATGTTTGTATCTAGATGCAAATAACTTGTATGGCAAGGCCATGTCTCAGTGTTTGCCTCTTGATGCAAATAACTTATATGGCAAGGCCATGTCTCAGTGTTTGCCTCTTGATGCAAATAACTTATATGGCAAGGCCATGTCTCAGCGTTTGTCTCTTGATGCAAATAACATATATGGCAATGGTATGTATCTTTCCGAACCGAATCCGACCCGATTTTTCGGATATCTGAACACCTCTAGTTTTTGGTTTTGTACCTAGCTATCAGTACTGTGGGCCTGGAACGAATTTAAGGAAGAGATTAACAAGAGGTGATCCAGGCATAAATAAATTGGATGCTGCATGCAAAAACCACGATATAGTATACTGAAGATCGAACTATTCTAAAATATGCACAGATACCCTTTTGGTGGTTGTGCAAACTTAGTGCATTTTATGATTTTGTTAGTGTCCCCAAAAAATGAGGGATTATGGGCTCAACTGGAGATTACTCTATATTTAAGATATATTAACCTTTAAACATAACCAATGTTATTTTAAACCGTATGATTTAAATTGGCATTTTGTTAATTACGTTTTTTTTACCCGCCCTTATGACAGTGTGTATCTGGATCCGAATTTTTCAAGATCCAAAAAATCTTGAATCCAAGATTCTGTTTGTCTCTTGATGCAAATAACTTATATGGCAAGGCCATGACTCAGTATTTGTCTCTTGATACAAATAACTTATATGGCAAGGTTATGACTCAGTGTTTGTCTTTTGATGCAAATAACTTATATGGCAAGGCCATGTCTCAGTGTTTGTCTCTTAATTCAAATAACTTATATGGCAAGGTCATGTCTTAGTGTTTGTCTCTTGGTACAAATAACTTATATGGCAAGGCCATGTCTCAGCGTTTGTCTCTTGATACAAATAAATAACATATATGGCAATGGCATGTATCTTTCCGAACTGAATCCGACCCGATTTTTCGGATATCTTCACACCTCTAGTTTTTAGTTTTGTACCTGGATGATAAGCTAACGGCCTATAATTTTGTCTCAAAAATATCCCGTTAGTATTTTAATCTCACCCGATGCTTCGTGATAAAAAATAATAAAAGTATGATTTAAATTGGCATTCTGTTAATTACGTTTTTTTTTTAACCCGCCCTTATGTTTTAATGAGCAAACTTCGACATTATTCATTTTCTGACATGGCTTTGTCTTGGGTTGATTCTTATTTAACTAACAGGAAACAAAGAACATCAATTATAAAAAATGGCAAAAAGTTTTATCTCGAATTGGCACGAAGTTAAATGTGGTGTCCCACAAGGCTCGATATTAGGTCCTTTATTATTTTTAATTTTTGTGAATGATGTACCTCAAAATGTATCTTCTAGCCTCATATTATATGCTGATGACACTACAGCCATAGTTAAAGCAAATGATATACCCAATCTAAAATTGGAACTCAACAGCTCACTTATAGATTTGTCCAGTTGGTTTACAGTAAATGGGCTGCAACTCAATAGTTCTAAAACACAGGTTATGTTATTTCAAACAATCCAAAATAGAGAGAATCAAAATTTTGAATTACGCTATCAAAGCGATACTTTACCTTTTGTTGAACATACAAAGTTCTTAGGTTTAATAATTGATAGAAATTTAACCTGGAAACCACATATAGACATGATAGTAAAGAGATTGAATACAGCCTGTTCTCAAATGTATGTTTTAAGGAATATAATTGATTTGAAAACTAAACTTACTGTATATTATGCAATGTTTTATTCCATCATGCAGTATGGAATTGAACTGTGGGGCTCAACTTCATATGCTGACACAGTTTTTAAAAAACAGAAGAAATTTTTAAGAATCTTATCTTTTGCACCAAAAAGAACATCATTTAAACCTATTTTAAAAAAATATGACATATTAACAATGCCTTCTTTATATATATTTAAAATGATGGTTTCCTTCAAAAGTAACTACCAATCATACGACAACAATCAATTTATCCATCAATATCCGACTCGTTTTAAAAATAAATTTAAATTTCCAAGACATCGCCTCTGTCTGTATGAAAGATCTCCATTCTATATGAGTCTCAGACTTTACAGCAGTCTACCTGCCAAATTCAGAGAAATTACCAATATTTCAAAATTCAAAAACGAGTTTAAGATCTATCTTTTACAAAAACAGTTTGAGTCTATTTCTGAATATTTGAATGACAGTTAAACATTTTTTTTATTACAGTAGGCCTACATTTATTTAGTTTATAGGAATGTTTTGTAAATCTAGTTTTAATAATGGACAATGTCACCTGTTTCATCAGCATTGCTGAAAACTTGAAATGTATTGTGACAATAAAGGAATATTTCATTTAATTTAATTTCATTTCATTTCATTTCAGTGTGTATCTGGATCCGGATCCGAATTTTTCAAGATCCGGATCCGGATCCGGTACCGACATTTTCTTGGATCCGCCCATCACTAGTTAATACTGTTCATAGAACAGTATTAACCCTCCGAGTGTCCCTTTTTTTGGCCTTAATGTCTGCCTATTTTTTGCTCATTTGCAAGGTTTTATTAAAACGGATCTGAGAAGCTTAAAAACAATGTTAATTATACTGTTCTATATACCATTTTGTTTGTAAAATCATGGGCTTCAATATTATATATAAAACATAAGGAACATTTGTTCAAAAAAAAAAAATCTTTAGGACTTAAAAAACAATATTTTGGAAATTTTCAAAAAAAAAATAAGTTCATGCTCAATGAAATTGTATAAATTATAGGCCTATAAATATTTGAAAATAGCCACTTTGTTCTAAATTTTATGAGGATTACAAATATATAATCATATAGTGAGGTAAGTTATCAAATAAATAAGTTATGAGTGAAAAACAGATTTCAGTACATAGCGTTTAGCTAAGAATGCATAGCCTCATAGCTAGGAATCTGGCTGATAATTTACATGAATATCACTACCTACTTCTTCAGGATCATCAACCAGCCCTTCAAAATCACTTAAATCTTCTTATAATGCACCACATATATCACTACTTTTGATTTTTAACACTAAAACAATGATAAACGTAATAAAACACATCAGTCATCGGTCCGAGGTTAACCAAGCTGTTTACAAATACGCACGTCAGCTGTCTGCTACAATATTTTCGGAACTAAAATGAAAAGCGCTTAGAGACAGACCTCCGGAGAAAGCTCTGAATCTGTCAAATAAAACAATACCTAACTCGATCCAGTTCAATCCAATTTTGTCAGTCATAGAGCCTTCGCCGTAAACAGTGTTTGTGAGTCGCAGCAGCGACACAAAACACTACACAAAGTGTGTTATGTGTCGCTGCAGCGACAAATAACACTCGGAGGGTTAACAGTATTCCATAAGATTCCTGATCTTAAGGGGCAAGATTGCAATTCTAACTCACGCTATTTTCTCAAACTTTAAACAGCTTATACTGGTTAAAAAACTATAATTTATATTTGTACCTTGATAGGATGGTGACAGGCTTGCCGCAGTCACAAGAAATGAACTATGTCCGCTGCCTGCTTGTGTTCAAAATTTGGAAGAGAATGTTGCCTTGCAGAGAGGAACGCAACTGCATCAACAGACTCGCTGTAGCCAAGCTTAGCCCCCCACCAGCACAGGTCAGACACTATAGTAGAACTGTGACATAGACAATTTGATTACCTTTTATTGGTTTGGCTCCACAAGCAACTATTCATAAATGTAGCAAGTAAAGATGGTTTGAATTGATTAGTAGCGGTTCATACATATATAAATATATGGCACCTATCCCGCCACTCATATTCCGTTGATACACTCGCTAACCCAACACACGCTGTACATCAGCTGTGCCAGATTCTTGAGTCATCTAAAATACATTACTATACTATGAGGATAGTGGAAGTACCATTGAAATAAGAAGTCCATTTTGGCTCTCGACTCTACATTTGAACTGTATTTCTGCTCTTCCCTTTTGATCCTCTATTTCATCAATATCTCCTCTATCCTCACAATAACCGCTATCTTGAGACAAACTGATAGTATTGTCAGGTATCTAATACTTTATGTTGTTCCTAAATATTGTTGGCCACGGCAGATTCTGCAAACTCTGCTGCATATGCTCGGAAGGCTTGTTTGGTTAAAAAAAACTTTAATTGAATTGTGTATTACTGTTTGTGTTCTGAATTAGCAAGGGTTTTTTTTTTTAACTTTGCTTTGTTTTTTTACATCAAAACCTACAACATGTTACGTTTACTTTGATCGTAACAGGTGTTAGAGTTCATCAAGCGAGGACTACTAACCAGTGTGTTGCCGAACCCTCCTCCTGACAAGACGCCGTTACTCCTCACAAGATTCTACATGACCAAGAAGTTCAACTTGCGGGAATCCGTCAAGGTGAGTTAACATTTTATCAACATTAATTTTCAGGTTAAGAAAACTGGTTTCAAATACTTATGCTTAAAATCTAGTTTAATTGCTTTGAAATGAAGAGAAGATGCATATTATATAACTAGGCAAGCATGTTTCTTTAAAACCTTTTTTCTCAGCTCGTGTTAATCACAGGGAAAATCTATCCATACTGTTAGAAATATATGTTCCTGAAGATCTGCAGAATCCATTTAAAAATTCAAATATGCTCAAATATAAGCACAAAAAATGAATTTGAAATTTAAAAAAATTAACATGGACTTTATGGGTGACGAGATAACAACGAAATATAAACAGAAAATCAAAAGAAGTGGAATCACATGTATTATTTACATTGTTGGGTGAAAATAGAGAAGTCTGTACATTACATATTTTTGGTTGAGTTTTTGACCACTGCACGACCTCTAGTTATTATTATTGTACAAAATTTAAGATTTTACTTTGATCTCAGGCATTCTTGAAATTGGAGGCGGATTTGAAACTGAACGACTTCACTTCTAGTTTGGATGCTATACGATTTTTTGATGATGAAGATGAAGAGGATAAGGTTAATGAGGAAAGCCATTTTGAGAAGGTAACATTAGAGGTTTTAGTAATGTTTGCGTTAGGTAAAACTTAAATACTGGCTGGCTACAGAATAAATAAATGAAGTTGATCAAATATTGCTAGGTTTAAAATCGTCCAGGTCCTAATAATTTTGAACTCAAATCCAACACATTTGAAGTCCTTTCACTTCCCAACTGAAAGGGCAATGTGGTAAATCCGACAGCCAATTTAATCCTTGAATATCATAAGAAGAAAGACAATTTACCTCAAAGGCAACCTAAGTGTGTGTGTGTGTGTGTGGTAACGATTAGGCCATTTTGCATTATTATCGTTAAACAGTTGACAGTCTAACTAATCAGATTTTAATTGTATACATAATTTTCTTCTGTGATTCTGAAAGTTGTATGGTAGATTTTACATTATAATATAGTGTTAACCATAAACAATCCAAAAAGGCTTATTTGTTTATAGTATGGATTAAGCCTTTTATTGTGAGGTATAAACTAAATATTTCATATTTTCAGTAATAGAATTTTCTCATCCCTGTTTATTATTAGTTTTTCCAATCATCATTAACTGAAACCAACTGTTATTTTGCAGGATTACAGTTTATTGGAATCAATATGGATAGACATTTCCAACTCGCCCCCTCCCACCAATCAACCTTGCCTCTCCTCCTCCCCTTCCACTTCTACATCTGGCAGCGCATCCTCAAAAGTCAGTGTTGGTGAAAACAGCCGTTCAATGGAAATTGATAATGCAATCCTCTCCAAAGTGAAAAAATCCCTTTTTAAATCTAAAGTAACCAAGAAGAACAAGCAAACAAAGACCAAAGTCAAGGAGAAAAAGAAGAAAAATAAACAGGATTTAGTCATAGACTTGTGTAAAGATAATGATGACATTTGTTCTGACATCACTCAAAACCCCTTGGAAAAAGTAAAGTTGTGTTTAAATTCTTCGTCAAAATCAGCCTTTAATAGTATTGATAATAATGTGCAATTGGAGGTTAATTCTACCGAAGAATCAAAATTAGGTTCCAAAATTGAAAAGAATCTTGTCAGGTTAGAACAAGGGTCCAAAATAAGTGATGAGAATCAGAAGGAATTTGAAGTTTCTAGTGTGTCAAAATTAAACTCAAGCTGTACTGAAAACAATATGGTCTTTGAAATTTCTAGTCAGTCAAAAACAAATTCAAACTGTAATGAGAATGAGATGGATTTTAAAGTTGCTGATGTATCAAAAACTTATTTAAATCGTAAATCTAAAAAATGTGATCAAGACACAACCGGGGAAATAATCAATAATGAATGTGAATTTACTAATACTACGTTAATAGAGGCTAAGTCTACATCAAATGATAAACCAGAATCAATTCAACCTGAAGATTCTAATCCTAAATCAACCGAAGAGAACCGAGAAGAAGATATACCTGTCTTGGAGCCAAGAGTGATGTCTGAGGAAGTAGAAGAAAGTAATGACAAGAAAAGTATTGAGTCTAAAGCCAGACCTGAGGAGTCGCATTCAGTTTCTGAGGCTGAAGAAGTAGATAAAGTAGAATCCTCGATAAACAAAATTATTATAAGCTGCAAAAACTTCTCTAGAATGGATTATATACATGAAGAGTTAGAAGAAAAGACAGAACAATTTTTGGACGGAGAACCAGGAGAACTGACATCTTTAATTGAAATAAGTGAAGATCCAATTTTTAAAACAGAAATCTTGAAAGAAGACAGTTTAGATTTTAAAGAGGATGATACAACCTCAGATAAATTGTTATTAAATCCAATGGAAGAAGACCAGCAGTCTAAAGAGACATGGAACAACGGTTTCGCTGTCAAGCCAGTACATGAACTCTCTACAGTAAATAACAATTGCATTAATTCTGAAATCAACTCTAGTTCTGTCTCTAAACCTGTCTTGACAAGAAGTGTTCATGAAGAAAGTAAAACATGCAATGAAAAACAGCCAAATAAGCCAGATAAAAACCATAAACCAGTTGCTTCAGAAGTAAGCAAAAGAGACAACTTAACATACAGTGTAGAAAAAGACACATTCAGTGCACAAAATTGTATTCAAGAACCAATTACAAGCAAGCAAAATACAAATAAAACTGAGATCAACCAAATTAGGCCTATTAAAACGTTTAGGGACGTTTATGGTCAACAACATCATGTTATTGTTCCAGAAAAACCATTTAGTGCTATCCACAAATTAAAAGTAGCAGAAAGTGTGTCTGTTCAAAGGAGAAATTCTAGCCAAGATTCGTCTGACGTTTCTTCTTCGTTGGAAGACATCCAAAAGAAAAATAACGTTTCTAATTTACCCGATAAATCATTTGTCACTAGAGAAGAGTCTTCATCATGTAAGGTCGAGAAAGATAATTTCCAAACGTTTTCTTCTTGTATGCAAACATCTGAGTCCACACACAAAGAAGTAAACAACCGTATCAAAGAGAAATGTGATAAAAATATTCAAGTTCCTTCAAACGCGTTTGGTTATGTAGTCGATAAACCAGATTTTATTGAGAGTTCAAATTGTCTAACATTACCAGATATTGACAAAACTAAAAAACAAGATGATAATATACAACCAGGTTTAAATACATGTCTGTTGCATAAAATATTAGGAGAAGAAGACTGTTTAAAAAGTGGTTGCCTACTAAAAAGCTCTGTTTCTGAACAATTCACTGATGATTTTAACAAGAGTAATCTCTCAGAAGTATGTTTAAAACAAGAGCTCGAAAACTCTACTGAGTTACCTGGTGAAAGTGTAACTCCTACAAATCCATCTCTATGGAATCCTTCAGCTGGCATAAAGGTTGAAAAAAATAGCAAAAACATCAGCAGTTTAGAGTGCACTGAGGGGATTCGCAAAACTTCTAGTGAATTTTTGGTCAGAAGTGTGACCGAAGCTTGCAACTTTAAAGAGCTGGATATTGCAAGTGAGTGTGACAACTTTACAGCTAGTTGTGAGTTTGAAAGTGATAATGAGGACAGAAATTTGGTCATTGACGAAGATATGGATTCCATAAAAGATCACAATGAAACTGAAGATGGACAATTCAACTATAGAATCGACTATGTGCATAACAATCTCAGCAATAACATTGCTAGTCCTGTTCGTCTAAACAACAACATACATGGTAATAAAGGGAACAACCAATTAGTGGATCAAAACATAGCAGGTAAATTACTAGATTCACAAGTAAAAACGAATCTGGAAAAAGTGCCTATAGTTAAAAATACAACAAAAGAAAATGAGCCAACAAAAAAAGAACTTGTTGGGAAACATAAGTTGCCTAAAATAGTAGAGAATAATATTAAAACTTCATACCTTCGTAATTCTTACATCACTGAAGCTTCTGTTGATTCAAGTATAAAGTATCGGCCGCTCGCAAGTAATGAAGTGTCACATACTGCAGGAAATAGCACACAGAATATTTCAAGCGGAGTATATTATGGAGGAGAAAGCTCAAGTGTTGTCTCTAAAAATTACACTACATCTAAAATTGTTAAACCATCCGGGGGTAATGTTAACCCCGCATGTAGAGTATACTCACCACACCGTATATCCCAAGTCAATGACCCTAATTGTGTTCGAATTAATAATAGAGATCCTAGACTTGGCCCTGTCAATATAAATAATAACACTTATGAAGTGCATTCCAATATAAATGTTCAACTAAATCATAACAACCAACGTAATAAAATTAAATCATTAAAAACTGTTGGTGCTACGAATCAACCAGTTTTTACTGCTGAAGTAGCCAAGTCTGGGTCTCCGAGGCTTCTTTCAAGCCCTGGCTGTTACGAAACATACACACAGTATGATATGGGAGGCAAAATATCTGTTCCTTCTAAAAAAAGCAGAGCATCCCCTGTTGAACGATACAATCTGAGAAATCCCATGACTAATGAGAAATACAAAAGTCAACATCTAGAGCCAGCTAAACCTCAAGAAAATTGCAGTAACAATTCACGCTCGAATATCGGAGTTTATGCTGAGATGACTAATTCCAAAGGCAACTCCAGCCCCTCATTCCTCAAGTACCCTAATGAGCATCAAACAATAAATACAGCAGAACCAGTTTATGAGACAGTAAATTTGAGAGATCCGTTGTGTTTAGTAAAGGGTAAAGAGGACCCGAGAGAAATGTATGATTTTGAATTCAATGTCTTTCCTATTGCCCAAGAAATTGAAATATGTTCAGGATCAGGTGATTGGATCTATCCCGTGTCCAGTGAGATCGGTCATCCAGACTGGCCTATTGCCATTGAACAGAGTGTGATTGACAGTTCTGCCTCTTATTCTCAACCGTCCGATCAATATACGTTCTCCTTGATGAAGGGTGATGAGGGATGTATCATCGCTGGATCAGATCAAAAATTTTATGCTCCTTTGGAATTGCAGCAGGTTGACAACAGGCATCCAAGTATTGTTGGGGAAAATGTTGACAAAGAAACTCTCAATTTGCACTTGAGAACTTTGGAAGCAGACAACAGTCTGTGTTGTTCCCAGCGAGAGTTCAAAGAGTTCTATCTCTCGCGAGATGTATCTCCTACGATTCCGGTCCCATTCCCCACGCAAGGCCGCACAGACATTTTGAACTCAACAGCCAGATGCCTGTGTGAACAATGTTCAGATAACCACCAGAAGCTTTTAAGCAATTACAATCTTCTTACTCATTACAGAAATTCCAAAATAAAACCACTAGGTGTGTTCACTAAATTGGACGAAGCGTCTTATTCAGAAAAAGATCCCAATGGAGAATTTGATAGCAGTTTACCGCTGAAAAAGAGGAAAACTTTGACCAATTCTAAAGCTAGTGAAGAGCTTCTGTTGCCGTCATATCCAAACACCCCGATGATCAGCATTGCACAGTTGGAGTTGACAGGCTACGAGCAAAGTAATCAAGTAATAGTTCCTAACCCGCAGAGCCAGTGGAGGGATGCAGTTAATTATAATCCTCTGAATTTGGTCCAACCGACAACAATGGAATCATTTGAGGGACAGACAAAAGGGAAGCGTAAAGCCAGCAAAAGAAGAAAAAGTTCAAGGTAGCATACTTATCTCACTGTATAAACATCACATTATTTCATTATTGTTGTTAATCGTTCACTGGATTGCCGTCAAAACTGAATGTCTTTTGAGCCAAACACTCATAAGTGTTCTATGTTAGCAATACGACTGCTATTTTACTTGTTGATGATACATTCTTTGAAAATGTTTGTGTATATAGATAGATGTTATGTTATAAACTGTTCACAATGTATCCAGTATGTTTTATCACTAGTGCAATTTATCTCAGAAACTGTGGGGTACAAATCTGTTTCAGTCGATATGAAGTTCCTTTCCTGTAAATTTCCAAATACTCATAAGTATATGAAGCAGCCGACTGATACCTACGTAAACAATATATTTATTTATTCAACTCTAGTCACTGTAAATATTTTATTTAGCTAAGATAAGATGTATCGTTGCTGTTTTTGGTACATTTTTATGGAAATGTAAATCTTTATGGACTATAATGTTAAGTTATTTTTTGAAATATGTTTTGCATCAAGAGACCATCTTAATACCCCTGACGTTAGTAAAAACTGAGCAAACATGTAGGTTGACTGTTGTTTTATCTATCTGTAATTTCTGGGAGAAACTTTTACCTAAAAGATTAAAAAATAAGATAAAACAAATAATAAAATACAATGATTTTGGTGTAAAAAAAATAAGAAGGAAAATCTACGGAGAGGTCAATGAAGTTGGAATGTATTCACTCTAAAACCTGAAGAAATATTTAAAGCAAGCTATCAGACAGGGAAAAAATAATTTTTTTACAACGATAACATTTTGAGACCTTTTAATATTTCAAGAAATGTTGATGCAGTTTGAAGAATTGAAGCATATCTGGATTCAGAAGAATTACCACCTCTAAATTGTGATTTGCAAAAAATTAAAATCTAACCAATTGTTACTGTCTTGTTTTACAGACAGCTTTATAAAAAAAATTTGATTTTTTAGTGAATTTCCCATATATTTATATAATTAGAAATAATCAATATTTGAAGAAATGTTGATACAGTTTGAAGACTTGAAGCATATCTGGATTCAGAAGAACTATCACCTGTAAATTGTTATTGAAAAATTTTTTAACCAAATGTTACTTTCTATTTTATATTGACAGCTTTATTTAAAAAAATTCCATGAATGCATTCTAATCACCATTCTATGGATTTGGAAATGGACCAGAAGAAACATATCCACTAATTATTTGCAGAATTTCAATAACAATATCCTTGATAAATTAAGAATAAATACCTAGCACCTCTCATGAAACCTGACCAAATCCTATTGAATGGACTACAGTTTTTGTTTTGTTTTATTTGTATAGATTTTAGATAAACTTTTAATTTCAGTATTATACTTCAACATTCACGGATACAGTAAGTTTTTTATGTATATTAATGAAAACAAGTCAATTAAAAAATTTTGAAGAGGAGAGAAAATGGTTCCATTACGGAGGACAATATACTCATGGAAACATCAAGAGCATTTTATAATACTTTGTAAACAAATTTTGCATTCAACCTTGAAACTTTATTTTGTTTAGTTAGCTTTTCATTAAATTATTAATACAACACAATTTCTAAATCAAAGTACCATACCATACAATTGCAGTTTTTGCATTCTTAAGTATTTGATTAATAAATCATTATTCCGTCACAACCAACTTTTGAACCATTAGTTCATTTTTTTAATACTCTGGAAATTACAAAACAGAAGATCGCAGGAATGGATTCTACAGGATTTGTCATTATATAAATGTAAATACAAGTGTGGATTGAAGATAGATAGTGATTTTTGGTCAACTTGCAAATTAATCCAATGAAAGATGGATCACAGAAACACTATTACTGTATTTGTTTGCTAAAATAGAAGCTGGAAACAATATTCAAGACAAAATCCTTAGTAAAAATTGGTTAAAAATACTATTTTACAATAACAAAATTATTTAATATAATGTAAAAACTAAAAAAAAAATTATTACATATTTTTTCTAAATATTAATATTTTAAATGCAAGTTAGACTATGATCAATTTAAGGACCTCATATAGCAATATTGAGGTAAGTGAAATCCTCATCTTTGCTAATATGACATTTAATTTTAAATTGCCTACCAAATCCTATTAAAAAATATTTTATGTTTAAACCGAAATACAAACTAAAAAAAAAGAGAGTTATAAAATTTCATTTCTATCCCATACAAACATATTTCTAACAATCTTTTATAATATTTCACCTGACCGATACATTTTAATTGAAATATAAATTCTTGATATAATAAGGAATTGTAGGTTAGTAAAAACTTGAAACAAATTGATACAAAAATTTTTTTCCATAGGTTTTTCTCAATTAAATGAAAAATTACCATTCTTGTAGCCTTATAATTACAGTTTTAAAAGTTCCAAGCCTATTTACATTCTTTTCTTACATTTTTTTCACAATCATAATGTTTTTTCAGAGCTTAAAAGTGGACTTCTGCAGGCGAAAGCGGTCACCTTTTTCCTAAATTTCAAAAGCAGGATCACTGATTTGGATGGACCCAAAAGCAGGTATAAAACTCTATAAAAAAGAAATGGTAAATCCAATTGAAATCTGAAGCTTGTCATTTTTATGTGTAACCATTTAATAAAAATGAACATGAACATAATAACATGAACTAGACCTAAAAAACAAGGTTCAGTTTTTACAATTGGATATAAGTATACTCGTGTTGGTTGGTCTATACATATACTCAGATACCATAACTATTAATTATCCAAGATATGGACGTAACTAGCTATACAGTAGAACCTCGCTAATCCGTCACCTACGGGAGTGGGAGCATGGTCGGAACAGCAAAAAGGTCGGATTATCAGAGGAACGCGATTATTGACATAAAAACGTTGTAAAACTGTATTTTGAACAGACCACGGATAACTGATAACACGGTTAATCCAATATGACATACAACATTTATTTCCAACTCATAAACTAAATGGACATTAATGTAATAATTTGCATATTACATCATAAAAATATAATTAGTAGGCTATTGCGCAATCATGACAGTTATGTTTTGTCATTACCCTTGGTTCAGTAATAAAAACTGTAACGTTTAAAATCACAGCTTTTTCAAACTTTTACTCAAACAAATTGCCAAACATTGTACAGCAAAATAAAGAACAGAACATTAGATAGTCTAGTAAGCTACTGCTAGTCATAGGCTACTGCTACGCTGTTTCAGGACAGAAGAATGTAATACAGTAAAAACATTAGATAAGGCATAAAAAAAGTATAAAATAATAGTAGCCTACTTATAGCATAACAATGACATAACTAGGTGTACAATGCAGTTGTCTGATTGCAATATTGAGCGGAGCCAGCATATTAATTCAATGTCAATAATATTGATATATTTGGTTCGCATTTTAAATAGTATGCCTATTTGCAGTAGGTATCCAAAGTCAATCATAAGTCAGGATTAAGTGAATGAATTGTCTACTTGCATGAACCATATTCTATGTTTCATCTGGTTCTCATAAATTAAATGTCTACTTGCAGTATCCAATGCCAATTATATATTTGGTTCGCATAAATGGAATGCCTATTTCCAGATTCTAAAGTCAATGGTACGTCTGGTTCACGTAGACGGATTGTTTACTTGTAGTATCCAAACTCAATGGTACATGTAAATGAATAGTCTACCTGCAGTATTCTAAATCAATGGTCCATTTATTTTGTTCACATAGTTTTTGTTCAAAAACGCCTAATTGCAGTATCCGTCAATGGTAGGCTTAGGCCTATCTGCTTCTTTTATATGGGATGTCTATGTGCAGTATTCAAAGTCAATGATACGTCAGGTTCACGTCATCAAATTGTCTAATTGCAGCGAAACTATGAGTCTTATATTTGGTTCACCTTAATGGAATTCCTATTTGTAGACTGCATTCTTATTTATATCCTGTATATCCTATCTATACTTCTCCACGCAACCACAGAAAACATACTACTATAACCGAGTATGTTTTCTGTGACGCAACATAGGCTTAGGCCTAATTAGTTCACTATTCATTGTTGTTAAAAAGAACAGAACGATTATACAATTAAATATAAACGGCATGATTTTAATAATTTAATATAGAACTGATTGTTAATCAATTCGTATTACATGCAATAGACTAATATGCTCTTTAGTATTCATCAGATTTTTTCTTTTGTACTGTATTTATAATGTGTTAGATTTGTTGACTAACATATGTTGAGGCTCTTGTTTACTTTTTAGTGTTAACTCGCAAATAATGCCATGGCGACCAATTAACCCATAAGGCCCATGTTAAATTTCTAAAAGTTTGCATTCATGTAGGGAAAAGTCCTATGGTCCGATTTGTACCATTTCAGATTTATACCTTCCCATGGTTGGGTACTATGACTGAGGTTAAATTTCGTGCAGATCGCTTCAGCCGTTCAGGAGGAGTATTTGTAAAACAAAAGCAGGAGTGTAGTATAAGAGCTTCGCTCAAAAACATCGCTTATTCTATTTTTTCTTAAGTTTTTTCTTCATCGCACCCATTCAACAAGCTGCCATGGTTACTAAACAGAAACACCCAATCACAGGCTTCTAAAGTTGTTATGATTACCAAATACCCAATCACAAAATATTGTGACATAGCAAGCGCACAGCAGACATATATGTTGTGTGTAGGCCTAAGGAGCAGACAGACGATTGTCAGTGCAAACGGATAGCTTGACCTTGAAGCTTTGATCGGCATTCCTTTGTTTTGCTTCCATTTTATTTTTGTCAAATGAACTGTGATTTTCCAAAAACAATAATGTGGGAACCTACTTAATATTAATAATGGGCAGACATGGTTAAATATACAACGAATTTCAACACATTAGACTAACAAAAAACACAATTTATAAAGTTTTCTTGGACAATGAGGTTATGTTAGTGGAAGCCTATTGTGTTGGCGGAACGGTCGGACCAAGCGAGGAGTCGGACCATCAGAGGTCGAATTAGAGAGGTTCTACTGTACTTACCGGAGTGGCCAATGATACCTTAAGAGGTACTTAGCCTTGCTCACTCACTGTATCCAGGTGTATCTTTCTTGAGCATCATTTTCATTCCTTCCCAATCTTCTAATGACTTTTTGTACTTGATCCCTCCATCTTAGCTTAGGTGGTCTTCTGCCTTCGGAGTTTGTATTAAGTATGTTCGTGGTGGAGTTTTGCTTTCTTCTCATAGTATGCCCAAACCATCTGAACTAGGAATGGGTCAGTTGTCCCCGGTTTATGGTTATTGTGCAGGCGCAGCAGTTGGTTAGGAAGCCATTAAAGGCTTATCAGATGTTTGTTTACGACTTCCATAATTTATTACTAGAGACTAGGGTAATGATGCAATAAAATACCCATTATCAGCAGTTCCGAACCCACTAATATTTTATCAGGACAATAACAATTTCGTCAAAGTCAATTTCTTCCAAGAACTTTTTGAGTCAGTAGTAGGGATATGCGAATAGTGATTTTTGGGTTCGAATTGAATACTTCATAATATTTTCTAATATGGAATATTACCGAGCGAATATTTATGTTATTATTATGGACTCCAAAGAGTTGTTTACATTAAACTGAGTTTTTTACTAAAGCATTGTACATTGGCTGTATTTTACTCAGTTCTAACTGCATGATAGGCTACTTGACGATTAACTCTGCCAGGAATGGGTTAATAGTCCTCCTAAATACTGAAAACTATTTGGTCCTCTATCTGCAAAAGATATCATCATCTGCTACTTGGACATCACATCTTCCTCACTTCATTAATTTTGTTTTCTTGTTATTAATTTTAGGCCTACTATTCCTGTTTCTTCAATTAATATTTCTAATTCTATAACTAATTCTCTAAGGTCATCCTTCTTATGTGACATTATAACCACGTTGTCAGCAAATGCTAAAATGTTAATTTCTCCCCCAATTTTGATGCCTTTGTCTGAGGATTTGGCTTTTTGTAGTGCTTCTTCTAGCTAGCTATACACGAGTATAGCTATAACTATGTAGCTATAGCTCATAACTAGCTAAACCAAAAAAATATCTAAACCAAGTGGGTAAGGTATTGATGAGATGCCTTGTTTAGCTTTTTTTTTATTATTTAAGACTGGTTGTCTATAAATCGAAGGCCATTTATAAAACACCAGTAAAAACTAAAAAGAATCAACATTCAAACAAAAGATAAAAGGAATTGACAGTATCCACTTTATTTGGTTTGATTGATATTTTGGAACGTAATATTATATGGTATTTTAGTTGTCAGTTTGTACTGGGGTTTTCAGGCCAAACTTTTAATTTAAAACCTAATATTATGAATAATTTATTCTACACAATAATGGTGTTTGTGTGTGAGAGTAAGTAACACAGATACAAGTTGTTTGTACTGTAATACAGTACTATGATTCCCACTGACTAATATTTTGGCCTTTTTACAGGTGACAAGGGAAACAGCCTTGCTCACTTTTTCTATGGAAATCTGCTCAACAGTACCCAGTAGAATGTTATCAGGTAATTAAATTTGTTTGCGCTTCCAACCTATGTATTATATTTTTTTAATATTATATAGGTATCTCATGATTAATACTACTAGTGTACCTGTTGCTCGAATTCGAGCAATTGCTAAGTGTTACATGCGTTATTTCTATTTTAAAACTAACAACAGTCATAATTTCTGATGACTTTAAAAGATTTGACTCAAAGATTATGGAAATACTCAAGATGTACATAACAGATCGATATAATCAACATTTCTTGTAAATATCTAATCATTTTTCAAAACCTGATTTTGTTTTTTAGTGTTTTCTACAAACAGCCTTACTTATAGCCGCATTAGGTTGTCCATAATAACGATTATAAATTCTAAAAAAAAACATTATTTCTATATCTTCTCCTTGGTGGTGTTCTATGACTTTCCTATGTTTCCATAGTTTGCAAATGGGCTCTTTCAATGATTATTAAGAAATGCAGCACAGTGTTAATTCAGTTTTCTTTTTAGTATATCAAATTATCCAGGCTCTCTCACTTTTTTCCATTGTAATATTTACGCCAACCCAAATTCAAATAGTAAATATTTCATTTCAACCAAGTCAGTAAATAATGTTTGTAGCAAACTGTTAAATTAGCAAACTTATTGACTTTTAACAACATGCTCTTCTTCTCACTTTTAATTTCTGACAACAGCTGGAGTTTCATAACAATGTTTGTTTCCTACGTTAATCTTATGGAGAAATACAAAACTTTAAAGGGCCCCAGGGCCTCACTCTCTAATTATGTCCCAAAAAAGAAAGTTTCCTGCACAACTTCACGATACGCTCTTTCCAATGACACCAAAAAACATGTCAATCGGTTCAGTAGTTTCGGAGGAGTAATTGTCACAAAAAACCTGCTTGCATATTAAATAAGTACAGAATAGATGTTTATTATTGGTCTGTATTAAATGCTATTAAACATTTTTATTTTAATGTTTTTGAGGCGTTTGTGTAGCCACGAGACGTAGGAATTGGCTAACTCAGGAACTCGCTAACTCGGTCGTGTGTTGGAACTGGCTAACTCAGGAACCGGCTAACCGTCTCAGTCAGGAATTGGCTAACTCCGGAACCCGCTAACTCGATTTTGTCTCGCGGCGGAATTCGCTAACTCTGGAAGTCGCTAACCCGGCAGCGCCCACTGCACGGAGCGTTGCCAACCTTGTACGGCGAAATAATCGTACACTGCCGTATTTCAAAATGTCAGTATCAATGAAGATGCAGTAAATGTTATTTTTTTGCTATACATTCTACTTTTAACAGCTAACTAGCCCAAAGTAATTAAAATGCAATTAAAAAAATCATGAAAAGAGGTTTTTTTATTTAACTGTGCAACGGCCAAGGAAATGAAATGAAATGTCTTTATTGCCTTTAACATGATATAAAATGCATTGCAATTGTCAAAATAACTTAAATAATAAAATAAGTTTGTGATTTAGATCGTATATAAATGCCATAAGTATTATAAGAAAATAATATGAAAACATTGAACATTCAGTTTAATTGGTACCAACTAAACAATTAAACCTCTACGAAACTAAGCCAAAATACACGGAAGTTCTGAAACACAGTAAACAAATATATCCTAATGTCGTAATGAACAAAAACCATTAATTAATACAATCATCAACCATCGTAACTTTCATAACTACAGTAATTCATAGATTTAAAATTAAAGGTTCGTCGTTGAATCGTTCAACCATAGATATAACATGGTTCAACTTACGTGTAATAATATGACATAGACTACGTTTCATATCAATTTATAGAACAGCTGTAGGTCTAAATCTAGGCCTAATAGTTTAAACCAAAGCATTGTAGGCCTATTAGTAAATAGTTGCCTAGTTCTAAAATGAGTTGAAATTTTTAGTAATAATGTTACATATTTTAAAACAGTTTTTAGATTGTACACCTAAGCCCCACTAGTATAAATAACAGGAGAAGATATAATATTCTTATATTAAAACGTGACAGGGTTATTTTAATTCACGATTCTTAATCAACGACTTGACGGATGTTCATGATTTTAGTGTTGGGATTCCTTTATATTGCTTTTACAATCGAAATAAACTACACCAAGCCATGCTCGGTTCCCCGTTTCCCGGTAGTGAGCCACTCAATATACAATAGCTTTGTTGTTGGATAAGATCAGGTAATTTTAGCTATGGCCACCATTCATAAAAATGGTAACAAACAAGAACGCCTGGGTCCATTTAGAACCATAAAAACTGCAGACTTTAGACGTAAAATTAATATTAATTAAGAGGATTACCCGGGTTCTACACTAATAGCCTACGATAACATAAATTTACAAATTGTATTTATGAATAGACAAATTTTTAATGCAATCCATGAATACATTACCACTTTATAATGTATTGATCAATATTTATTTAAATTCAATAGCTCTATTTAAAAAGATATTAGCACTACAATGTATTTATGTAATGACGTTTAACGTGTAAATTTTATCGGGAAGGTAATCCTCAAAATTCTAGGCATACAAAGTCTACGGCAATTACTGAAGATATTTTTAAATGTCTGTTTGTTGGTTGCATCGAATAGGATAGACTATTACAATACTGCTTCAATTTTTGTTAATAGATTATATGTTTCCTAACAACATAATGTAAGAACATTTAAATTCCTTTTCTTGACTAAAGTAAAGACGCAAATATTGTAATACATTGTTAACGTTTTTGATTTGCGTTATTATTAATTAATGTACCTAGGTAAATCATGTGCCTGATATAGAAAAATACCGAAACTATTTTTATTTGTTTACCAATACTATGATTCGGAAATATTTCGGTAATAATACAGAAATATTAAGAAGAACCAAACTATTGTTAACACTCACACGACAGATATAATAGGCCTTTAAAGAGTCAAATATTATAACCTATCAAGGACAAGCATTCAAGGTTACAATCCCAGTATACAAAATACGAACTTAATAGTTTTATTTGAAGAAGTTCACAAAATGGTATTTATTCCAATAAAAGAAACAAATGGTGGACTACGAGAATAGATATTTCATAACATGTAAAAGATCCAAATTAAATGTACAGTACTATCTTTTTGCATCCCAATAAACTACTATTTAAGTAAGAAAACCATGTGTAAAACATACTCCCTTATATTAGTACATTTCTCATCCTTATAGATCAGCTGAAGTCAGTTTTATTGTTCTGTCCGGTGCGCGCTGTCTTTAGAGATCGTGTTTTGTTTACAATTGTTTCTTGTTTTCAGTCATTAAAAATCTCGTTTAACCAAATAAAACAATCTAATCATAACTAATAACACGTCCCCTAGTTATATAACCAAACAGTAAAGAACAAATCATGAAGTTAACTATAAAATAATAGAAACACAATTTCGTCGACACTAGCGATCAGTGTCACCGGACATGAACTAGGCACGAAAACGAGCTTCAAAGATTACAATGGGATGTAAAGTTTACTTGTGTTGGTTAGTCTATGCCAAGACTATAATGCATTTTCTACCCTAATAATCATAAGAATAATATGAAACATACTTCTAAATATATTTATTTTATCGACTACGTTGCTCTTACTCCTAATTATTCGTAGGATACGACATTATGGTACCGATACGATCGTAGGTACTACACTTTCGGCAACACTGGCCAAAAATCTTCGTGCTTGACTCCTATTGGACAGCACGCGAGGCTTCTGATTGGGAGTTAGCGAGTTCCGCCGAGGGGCCGAGTTAGCCACTTCCGTACGAGGACGGAATTCGCTAACCCGGCTCTAGAGCGGGTTAGCAGGTTCCGGAGTTAGCCAATTCCGAAACCGAACAAGTTAGCGAGTTCCTCTCATCGACCAAATTTGAAGATAGGGCGTTTAACATGGGGTTAGCGAGTTCCAGAGTTAGCCAATTCCACGGACCCGTAGCCACTATTGATTAACACTTCAAAAAACAAGTATTTCTTGAGCTAGTCTAGTTGGTGGGCAAATGCGCGGGTTTAATTACTGTCTTATCACCTAAGCAATTTGATTATCCAATAAGAACAAAGTTTTTTCCTAGTCCTAATTTATAATTCATGCCTACTGGGAGAACAAAAAATAGAATAACTCTTCCCATTAAAATTACGTTAGTGGTCTTATTTTGGCCATAAAAAAATAAATAAATTACTCCTGTACTCTACGGTTTCAGTTAGGGGGAACAAACAATACACTAGACAGCCAAAACCTAGCTTTAGAAGTATACAAATAAATTTGCTACCAATCATATTCTACTTTCTTTTCAGATGATAACTGGAGCTGCTGAATATGTTGTAGATGGACTCTGGACACTGTTAAATTTCTGAAGAAAACTATTCAGAACTGCAGCTGATTATGTACTTTGGAGTACACCTACCAGTGATGTACAACTTCACCAACACCATAGCTTTTATTCCTAGGGCTGCTGATTTGGTTTTTGACTAATCATTTTAAAGGGATTCGATAATGAATTCCATTGTGTATAACGATTTTTTACTCAGTCTTCTGCCTTCTGGGTTGTTAGGTAAAATACTGTTTAAAAAACAAACTTTCCTCTACAAGTAGGCCTTAAATTACTCTTTGAGATTAACTTAATATTTTAGATACTCTTGAGACTAAATTAGCTTTAAAAACATGAAAAAAAGATGTTGAAAGTCATAGATTGTAAGAAAAAAAGTATGTTAATATTTCGAAGAAATATCAGTATTTCTACTACAGGATTAATAGAAAAAGTATTTAAAATGAACAGGTTTATTTTACATGTTTATGATTATGCTAAGTAAAATACTCATTAGAATTTCAATCAAATTGCTTTTAACAATTGAACTTGAAAAAAATATGGGCCTTGTTCAAAACCAGACATGACCTTTAATGATAGGATATTGTAATTTTGGAACTACCTATCTAGCTCTCACAGATAAGATACCTAACCTTGTTGTCATATATTAGGGAAAACAAGTAAAATTTACAAGGATTAATCAGCAGTTCTAAGAAATAATCATGTATGATGCAAGAAGATAGTTCAGCAACTGTATAACATCACACAGCTATTTTCATGTATAATTAATGTGATATTTTGCAGCAATGCCTTTTTTTGGAGATTTTCTTGTAAATAAAAAACTCAGGTTACGGTTAGGTGTAAGAATTGATCTCACATTTCGTTAGAAAATATAAATTGATTTACGCTGATTGACTGAACATGTTATTGGTTTACTGCAAATTTAATACGATTCCAAAAAGGTTTTTTCGATTCATAGGGCACTAATGAATGACTAGGGATTGTGTATTGTAATAAGAAAGAAAAGAAGGCACATTTTGACGCAGTAAGTATCTTGTATTTACGCAATTTATGTTATGTGAAGTCATGTGATTATCTTTATTTTGCATCCCACAACATTTTATGCTCTTATAAGAAATGTTGCTACTTAATTAAAGATTTTTTTACTAACAGGTCATCAAAAAGCAAAACTAAAAATTTGGGACTGCTGTAAAAATGTGTCAAATTTAAATTAGGCTATGCATTTTAAATCCGCATTGTTGTTCCAAACTTACTGTTTAGTTTTAAATAGTGCTGTATTTGTTTAGTATATGTTATTTCAAATTTATGTTTAATTTTGAAAGGGAACAAAATGTATTTAATGTTCAAATGTTTGTGTAATAAAAAGATTCATTCTTGTAATCATAAATAAATCATTCTCCTTCTTGATCATCGGTTTTTAAAATTATATAATTCATTTATTCTTTTGGAAGTTGTACTAAGATATATTGGTGGATGTGAAATTCAAAGTAGGCTACATATGAGTGATGAAACAGTTGCCTATGGATGGAGTGGTGTTATTTTTACACTTGATTTAGAAGCTGGTTTAGATAACATTTTTTTTGCAGAAGTAACTCAAACTTAACAACCACAACTTATTGTGCATATCTGTGGCGAACACCTCAGAGGTGTTTTTGCTTGAACACCTAGTTTCATGTATTAGTATCACCAAATTTATAATAATTCTAACAGTGAAAAAATCTAAGCAATTCAATTTTCTTCATCCCACCATGATCCATGTTCAAATATGAAATAAGCTTGTTTCAGCTAAGTTCCCATAGTATTCTGCCTTTGATACTTTTTTCCCCTTGGTATATATGAATTGATCTAATTATCAGGATAGCACTGCGGGTAGTCTTAGTACTCACTCGTGCGGACGTTAATCCACACCAGGGAGTATCGCATCCACAGTGCATGCCTACAAATATCCACAATTCGTGACCTAGTAGCTGGATTACAGGACGACGAAACCCGTCCCAGTGATAGTGAAGAATAAGTTAGTTGACATCACATTCTATGTTGAAGTTGTAGCTAGTGTGAGGGGAAAATGAACTTTTGGTCACTTTCAGTGTGCTGCTATAAATTATTGAATTTCTATTGGATTCTACCATCATCCTACTAACAGTAGAAGTCACAAAGAATAAAACTGTATTCCTCATATTGTATGCCTCCATAAAGATTTACATCAATAAAGTCATGAAGATTGGAAAAGATCAACTGATCAAATTTTCAAACTGACAACAAAATATTGCTAGTTCAATGAGCATTTTTTGTGTATTTTTATAAATTATTTTATCACAGCTTTGTTTGATTAGTGAAAATTTAAAAGAGAAAACATGTAAGCAAACACATATTTTATTAATGAATAATAAACAAAATTATCACAGAAGGAACACGGAGGTGTTAGAAGTGATGGCATCGTACAGGAAAGTGTTGTTGATGGGTTTGTACTGTCCGGTGATCAACTTGATGGTTTCCTGGGCCACGCAGCCACCTATAATCAAGATCATTAAATTATTAACTTTGTCAATTAATTCTTAATTTTCCGTTATACTAGGAATGGGTTGATTATGATTACTTCCGTTCCTAGCTGGAAAAGAAAAGTAGTAAAGAGTTCACAGAATACGTCAAGGTAAGTCCCTCCCTAGCGTAGAATCAAGGATTTAATGTATTGCAACAAATTAGGAAATGTACATTTTGTACATACATAACCAAATAGTAAAGCACAAATCTTGAAAATAACCCTAAAATAATAGAAACAAAATTTCGTCTACCCCAGCGATCGGTGTGGACGTACATGAACTAGACACGAAAAACAAGCTTCAAAATTTACAATGGGATGAGAAGTTTACTTGTTTTGCTTAGTTTATGATGTTACCAAACACATGTTTTATCAACCAGCAAAAAAAGGTAACATTTAAATAACTGGTGTTATAGATTAGTTGCGACTAGTGAATCAATCTTGTTTCTCAATCCAGGGAAGTCAGCCCATAGCAAGATGGAGGGGTCACATTTACTTGTTTCTTTATGAACTCCAAAGTATGAAAACATAAAATGGAGTTGACGTTGGAGCCATGCTTATAATCTGTCATCAGATACAGTAATATTGAACCCATCACGTAGGTACTTTCTTATACGATTAACCTACTTTATAAACCAACCTTATGTGATGTATAAGGTACTTAACTTAACTTTAAGGCGCCTAAGGAATATGTCGGCCTTAACTTTAGGTTTAATGTAAAATTATCAAACAGTATTTTTTTAAACAACGTTTTTAATGATTTGTGACTCGACATTCATTAGTTCAAACAGAGAATAGCCAATATAATATTTCAAGTTTGTTGAATTAACAGTAAACTATCATTGGATGGTAATTTAGGTCCAAACAACACTTTTGAGAAAGAAAGCAACATAACAAAATCACTTAAACATAAACAAATTACCAAGGAACGAAGATACTGAGTGTAGTTCCGCGCCGCCATAGCGACAGATCTCGTGGACGTAATCATCCTTTGCCACCGAAGGGCAGCCCCACTCATTGAGCAGTTTAGCTATACACGACTAAAAAAGTACATAAATAAGTTACAACACAGGGAAGTAAAACATTGTAAGGTTTTATGGTAAAAGGTTACATGACAATCTTCAAAATGTGGAAGACCAAGATGGAAACACTAGGCCTAATTCATTGATGCAGTATAATTTTCACAGGGGGGGCCAAAGAAATACAAAATGTGAATTAATAACTAACCCAAACAAAATTATTTTCTGTAGACTTCTTGAAGAAACTTTATCTGGGGAATACAAGTATGTCCTGTTGTAATTAATATAAATCAATTTTATAGGCCCAAATTAAATAGCAAATTAGCCTAACTGCTAAATTATACCTTTATAAACCGCCCTTGATATGTAAGCTTGTTAATAAACTTCCTAAATATGTTTTGACAGTGATTTAAATATGATGGATAAGATTCATGTTTTCAATAGGACAGAAGTGGTACGGTAAAAATTGTGTTTTGACCAAAGCATTATTTTATGGCTTAATTGTCCAGCACATTTCACATCCTCATTCAATAACCAAATCTAGCATTTCGGAAGGATAAGTTAGGTAAGTCAAGTGGTAAAAAAGTGTTTCGAAAAGACAACAGACAGGAATATTGTGAGAAATTTCTCCTGTGTAATTAATTCACAGTTAGACATAAACATTATCTTTGAATTCTCACCTTCAGCTTGACAATATCTGGCTCGACCTGGTCATCAAATTCGCCTGGGTAAGTGTTGTACTCCGCAAAGAATTTATCAACACCCCTCATCATCACATGATATACCATCAAACTATCTGGGGTCTCTAGGTTGACAGCTTTAAAAGAAAAAGATCACAATTGTAAACTAATTAAAATCAAATTTACTGTAGAACCAAATTAAGCAACATTTGGTATTTGGTTATTGAGTTCAAAAAATTACAACAAATCAAGTTAATTTTAATCAAAGCTAGATGTTTTTTCAACTAAACCATCTTGATTCAACAAATGAAACCTATTTTGTTTTTTATTTGTTGTACAACTAAAAAAAATGTTATAAGCATATGCTTACCGATAGTGTTAGCAGCAGGTGAACGAGGGTCGTACTCATCAGCAATACAAGATCCACGTAAAACAGAAAGTGAAGCAGCGTGTTTACAAAACTGCTTCACGTCTGCTTCAGATACCAGGTCATCAGGTTGATTGAGCTGATGCAGTAGCTGTTGTACTCTGCGATACACTACTTCTGCATCCCTACTCGCCTTGGTGTAGTATCTGACACAAAAGTGAGGTATGAGCGACAGGAGACAATAATCCCGAGTCAATGGATTGCAAACCAAGAAAACATTGTTAGAAACCGAGGATGCAATTTTCTAGTTTCAATATTAGGTAAAGAAAACTTTGGAGCAAAGAATTTCGTTAAAAATAAATTCTGATCATAGGCCTAGTATAAATAATCACTGACTATGAAAGTCATTAACATTTCCCACGGTCATTAACATTTTAACTTACTTTGGCTCAGATATTTTTGCTGACTCGTTGCTCTGTCGGTCAAGCTTTTATGCTAGGCTTGGCTTCAAAATCGAGCCATTCACACACTTCAAACTTTAAAAATAATCTTTCATAAATACTAGTGTTTACAAACACAACTTAACCGATAAGTGACAGAACTTGACTGGTCAATATAGACACATAGTGATACGAAAATTGCTATAGACTAATAAATCAATATCCCAGACTGCTGGATTACTGGACTATTGCACGGCTGGATTATACAGGGTGAATCGGACCACCCGTGCACATACTTTACGAGAATATACAATCGCTTGTGTAACTATATGACTCACTGATCAGGCATACAAATGTTTACAAATACCCAACTCTAGAATAGCTAGAGTTCTAGTGATCTGGAATTTTTTGTGGAGGTCTGTCTCGGTCCCAAACCACCCAGAAAATCCAAAAAAGTTACCTTAAATTCCCTTTTTACAGTTGTTTTTAAAATGGCTATCTAATACCGTAAGAGCTAGCAAAGATTTGAAAGAATGTTCATGGTCAGAAATTAAATTTTCTACAAGACACTCTTAAGCGGTATCAAAAATTGCACTCCTTTACCTTCACAAAACGTCCTACTTCTAAAATTTGTAAAACTTCTTGAATTTTTGACGTTTTGTAAATTATTTTTTGGTCATATATTTTTGTACTTTTAATGATCCCAACATGGAAAGAAATGTGCCTAAAGTGACTTTTTTGAAATTGAAAAACACACGCGCACATTTTAAATAAAAAAATGTAGTTTTTTACTTTTTTAACGCTTGTTGGGCCAAACCGTTGTGCACGGGTGGTCTGATTCACCCTGTAGAGATTTAACTGTATCAATAAACACCACAACAATATCTCTCAAACTCACAATTGTTGTAGAGTGATATATCTAGACGTGTCTGCTGTCATGTCAGGCAGAGATCCACGTAAAGGTAAGTTTCCGGCTCCCTCATTCTTGACAAAGTCTCGGACAGCTTTTGCGATAATCCAGAACGGCTTACTCTGTGAAACAGATAAATAAATTTTAAAATCATAATAATAATAATTCTTTAATAAATTTGTTTTCTTCAAAAATATCCTTTACTTGAAATGAATCGTAATTTTTTTACTGTGGTTTTGTTTTGAGTAAGTTATATAAACTACAAAGCTTTTTGAAATGTTTGCATTGACTGTTCTATATCTTTGGGCCTTTTATACATGAGTTTCTTTGCTTTTGAGATGGAAAGATCACCTATAAGTTCTTATTTAAAGCTGAATATGAGTGTTGGACAAAAGTAGGATTAGGCCTAGAGTGAAATGATCTGAGTAGATTTCTTTCTGTTAAAGATCAGCTGTTTCTTTAGCTAATTTTATCCTACTAATACTAGAGTACCTGTTGCTCGAATTCGAGCAATTGCTAAGTAGGCTATTACAGGCGTTATTTTAAAACGAATAACAGTCATAATTTCTGATGACTTTAAAAGAATTGACTCAAAGATTATAGAAATACTCAAGATGTACATAACAGATCGATATAATCAAAATTTCTTGTAAATATTGTTTTCTACAATAAGCCTTACTCAAAGCCGGATTATAAATTAAAAAAAAAAAAATTATTTATATTTCTTCTCCTTGGTGGTGTTCTATGCCTATGTTTCCATAGTTTGTAAATCAGCTCTTTCAATGATTACTAAGAAATGCAGTACAGTGTTAATTCATTTTTCTTTTTATTATATCAAATTATCCAGGCTCTCTAGCCTTTTTTTCATTGTAATATTTAGGCCAACCCAAATTCAAATAGTAAATATTTTATTTCAACCAACTCAGTAAATGTTTGTAGCAAACTCCTCGTTCTCACTACCACCCATGGCTAAAGTCTGGGACTTATTTGCCAGGCCAATTCCCCGTGAAAATCTTCTTTATTTTTAGGCTTCAGCCACTTTCAATCCTCGTCCAGACACATTATGTGTCCAAAAGCCTAACAGCACCACTCCCTTCCCCATACCGCCCTGAGGGATAGGGATCATTGAGATTCGCTCTAACCTTTCTCTTCCCTTCATGGGCAAGTTTTCATTCCTTTTCTTTCAGTAAATTAACTGTATGTATTATTAGAAAAAAAAGAAAAAACTTTGACGATGTCTATTGTAATACTTGTATTTCTTAATGACAAATAAAGATCTTGAATCTTGAATCTTTCTTAGTTTTTGTTTGTTTTTTTTTTTAATTTAAAAGCCTTTATGTATCCCTGGATTTTCCTAAATTCCCTAGCTACTTTTCTAAACGTCTCAATTGTTTCCCCTTCACTCATCATGTTTTATTTTCTCATCTCTAGACCTCTCTTATCCAAGACTTATTCCTGTTTTCTCCTATTTGTATCCTGAAGTGAACAATTTATAAATACGTGACTCGTGGTTTTTATTTCTCCACATCTACATACTTCCTCTTCCACCAGGTGAAATCTCCACAAATTTGCCTTGAAATTTTCCATGTCCTGTGACAAACTGTGTTTAGTAATGGCCCATCTCCCAATCTTGTTCCAGTCTCTTTCTGATGTTAGGTATATATGAGAACGTTTACCTATTTTTAACTTTAACATGAAACACTCTGCTCCCAACTCATTTGCCACTCATCTAATATCTCCTCTCTTCTGTTTCCGATGTAGTCCTACCCGCCTCCTTGTCTTCCAAAATCAACAGCTTATGCAGCGATTATCCAACAGTCCTAAATTGAATGTGAAATCTTCAGGCAGCTGTTGGAGAGCACACTTAAACCCAACACGGAAGGGTGCTTGCTGTATTTGGCTATCAACGACAATAGTATTATTTGTAGTTTGCATTTCGTTCGCGTCTACCAGTTGAAGTTCGCCGGCCTCCTCCTATTGGCCGTCCTGGTCAACGTCCTGGCTCTGGAGATTCCCATGTTAACCTTATGAGTAATTATATTTTAAAGGAATAAAAGAATTTAGTCAGTTTTTGACTGAATTCTTTGGGAATTATTGTGCCATTAGATAAAAAAATTAGATTTTCAAGCGGTTTATTGTAACAGCCATATTCGGTATACATTTCAATAGCCTAAGTTTTCTCGCTGGGCAAACCATCAAAACTTTGTTAAAGTTAGTCCCACCTTTGATGTTAAGTTGACACAAGAACTGTCATTTAGAATTTCTTCAATATTCTTCGGTAAGGTTGTGGCCATAACAGCAAAGTTCACAGCTCTGATGGCCTCCTCGAAGTTCTCTTCATCCACCGGGTTGCCATGCTCATCCCTTCTCATTTCTGTAATACAATGTTTTATTTATTCAGGATAATCATGTAATATTTTAAGATACCGGTAACTACAAACCATACATGAATAGTTATTTGTGTAACTAGTGGGCAAAGTGGCACTTTGCTGCACACGAGAGCAATGTATACGAGAGGAATGATCTCGAGTGCAGCAAAGGCCTTTTGCACTTGTGTTACACATTATATTTTTCCTACAGTCACTATAAAACGTATAAATAATTAGTCTTTCAAACACTATACAACACGTTTTTAGGTTCAGCAGGCAACACAAATATAGGTGCCCTAGAAAAAGTAGTACCCGGTCCGTGTATCATTCTGCTATTTTTCCTCGGCAAGAAATGTGCTCCGCGCTTTGAGAATATAGTTCCGTATGTTTTTGTAATTTTAAGTGGTTTCCGCGCCTAAAAAAATGCTTTAAAGGTATTATCTTGTTTATTAAGATCGTAGGAATGTTTTAAAAACGTTTAAAAGAAAAGTCCAGAAAGTTCAGAAATACCGAAACTATCAACACGAAATGACAGGTTAAATTGTACTTATAGTCAATCAGCTGCTCATAGTATTATTATCTTTGAGAGTTGCCAACCTATTTCCAAGCGTACACGGATTACGTGCATAATAGAACCACGCTGTTTTGTGTTGTTTCGTTGGAATCCTGATGTGCGGCAAAGTATAAACCATACGACAAAGTATAAACCGTACGGCAAAGTATAAATATGCAGCAATTAGCAGCTATCTGTACTATAAACAGTACAAGGAAGCCAACTTTGTTCGGGTGACTGTAGGAAAAATACATTTGGGGCATGCTTAAAAAAGGATAAACTATTTCAAGAGGAATGAGTACATACTTTTTAAGCCCTATAGTTGTCAGTATTGTTTTTTAATCGTAAACCTTAATTTTGATTTCAAAACTTGGTACAGTACATTCTTTTGTAACAGATTTTAAAAGATGTATAATAATCAATATTTCCTGCTGTGGAAGAAAAAAAATTGTATTTTCAAAGAAACTACTAAAAATAAGGGGTGTTGACTGGCCACAAACCAATAAGGAACCACCTTCACAAACATAGGGCACAGTCAAGCAGACCAATGCAGATTTTGAGCATTGGAGGCTGAATGAACCAAACACTTGTGACTGGATTGTCCAGCTCCAATCTAGAGAAGGTTGAAATTCCTTTAAATGTGACCATGAGGTAAAAGGAAATAAAAAGAGATGAGCTTGTTAAGTCATCAAGCCATTCTCCAAGAGCCTAAGGCTAATGGACTGAAATGACGGGTCGTACAAGAGCCAAAAGAGAATGTATAGGTGGAAGTAACTTGGCATAGCTATATTTTAAACTCTCCTCTCCTCCACCAAAAATGTGCTAAGTGTATTGATTTCTAAATTAGTTAGAAAAACAAAAAAATAACCATACCAGAGCTATTTAACTGTAATAAAACAAATTAAAAATTGAAAACCTTTACAAATGATTAGGCTGCACTTTAAAATAATAATAAACTGTCAAAAGTTAAAACTAGCCTGAGCGGATATGTTCCCTCAAAGACTCCTTCTCCTTGTAGTTCTTTGGTAGAGCGCCATTATGTTCTTCTCTCCACCTCACCAAACATTTATACAGCGGGACCAGATAAGGAACGTGACAATGATCTTTAAGTTCTAAATCCTGAAGGTTGATACTGTCCATGTATTGTTTGAGCGCTGGAAACGGACTGTCAAGGCGTAAATCAGGTGTCATGTTGTCTGGGTGTGATTCGATCACGGTGTGTTCTTCTATTTGAATCCGAATGGATCCAATGAAGCCATAACTTCGAGCGACAATAAGAGGGACTTTGGCCTCCCATAAATGTTTGGAAAGAGGTATCAATAACCTGTAAATAAGTTTAGATTGTATACAATGAATAAAATTGTATTATCTACAAATAGTATTTTATACAAAATATACAACCCATGATCAGTAAATTGAACAATACAATTTGGATATGAGCTAGTCTTGTTTTGTTTTTTTTAATTTTCTTAAAAAAATTACCTGTTTAAACATAATTTAGTTTTAGGCCCTGATAAGACCTGATAAGAAGCTGTTCATGACTCTTTAAAAAAATAGTGACATTTCAACTACGAGTAGGAATCCTGCTCAATATAATGAGGGAATCTGAGAGTGTAACAAAGCACCTGAGGAATTACAACTCGTATACATTTTGTTGTCTAACAAAGTAAAAACATGTACCTTTCAGGAATTCCTGTAGCTATCACTACATTAAAACCGCTGAAGAAATGTGGATTGTTTTCAAAAAGCTGGATTGGATTCTCTTCAACGTAATCTCCTCGAACATCAGGGTTCAGTTCCAATAGAAATTGAGTTGTAACCTCTGCCCGAGACTTTCCGACGCTATCCACATCAGTGAAAAAGCTGCAAAATTTGTTAAAGTAAATAGAACTAACGTTTAAAAAATATGCTAAAAAAGAAAGTTAAATTTATCAAAAGATGGACAGTGAAAGGGCAAGGACAAAATTATATCTATCTTTATCAGAATTTCACTAAAGGGCAATAACAATTTGCGGCAATAGTTATCATCCACTATCAGCTAAACCGGTGTGTAAGTAAAGCAAAATACTTGTTTACGAGTGAGGCCGTTTCCAAACGGCCACAATGATTTTGGAAAAGGTGATTGTGGAATTTATGGACATTTTTGTCCCTGCTATAGAGGTTTTCAGGTGGATGGATCAGGTGTCCTACTAATGTTTTTATAATGTTTTAAATTATTCATAGTAGTAGCCGTAATAACAATAATACCTTATATATATATATTCTAGTGCACCTGTTGCTCGAATTCGAGCAATTGCAAAGTATTCCAGGTGTTATTTCAAAACGAATAACAGTCATAATTTCCGATTACATGAAAGAGTCAACTCAAAAATAATGTAATCAATCACTCCACTACAGTTATCAAAACTGAAAACAAACTCACTCTGAAAACTAACACTTTTGTGTACGTGTGTTTGCTATGAACAGCTATAATTAATACAAATTATTCGTCTTAAATAGACAAAATATTTTCTTCATTAGAAATGCATTGGGATTTTAATGGCCTGTGGGGCAAAGCCGAGAACTTTTATTACAGGAATTGGTGAAAGGGGGCGTCTACACAAAAAATACTTAATTTTGACACATTGTTTCTAAAAATCCGTCCATTATTAACAGAGGAGTAGTGTTTTGTAGAAATCGCCTTCATGTATTATATATATGAGGATATTTGTGCGTCCAGACAATAACTTAATTAATTTTGTCCGATTTTGATAAAATTTGGTTTGAAGGTGTAGGGCGGGATAAAATTGAATGAGTTTGCGAACCAGCATGATCGGAACATGGGAACGGGGTTTAACAGGGGGTTTTATGGGGTAAAAATGGGTTTTTCTAATTTTTTACCCTTAAAACACAAAATTTATCAATTTTTCTCCAGACATTATTAAAGAGCTTAAAAAAGCAAACAATTTAGTATATCAAAGTGATTCTGTACGGTGATTGGTTACAGAGAAAATTCAAAAATTGTTAATTTAAAACTCCCATGTTATTTTTATGGAAAATATTGTAAAATGTTGTAGTTGGCTTGTTTATGGATATATTTTTATCAAACTTGGCGGATTTTTTTATTTCATACTAAGCTATTGATATTTTAATAAAAAAACACACATTATTAGTTTCCCTGTAGCAGCTAACCTAGGTACTTGTTAAACATAAATGTTAATTTAATATGTGACGTAATTTTCCTTTGAGCGAAACGTGGGAAATTACGCCACCGGTAAGGTAAACGAAGTCCCAGGAATCGCACGATTCGCGTTGCAGGGATTTTCCCAGGAGTCGATAGTGATTAAGATAGCCTTAAATTGATAGCCCTGGTTATCGGAGCTCGGGACGAACGTGGCGGGTTACCAGACACCACACTTAATATCACCACTCTAGTCAGGGGGCTTGTGGGGAAATTGGTAATTTTGACTTGACTGACTCCATGGGCAATAACTATGTGACGCTCTACTAGCTACTTAAGTTTAACTAGACAACTAAGTTAGTAAACTAAGTAGTCACCCCGCTTACCTACGGAGTTAAGGTTAACCTGAAACAGACAAAGGTTAGCTTAAGATAGGCCTAGCCTAGCCTAATTCCCACAGAGTCCGAATTTACAAAACAAAAAAAAAATTAGTTGGCTTAAGTTGCCCAGGTGAGATACAAAACGAGAAAAACTGAAACTAAAAATAAAACTGCTCCTTGAACAAAAAACGAAAATTAAAACTTCTACTTTCTCACGTGGTCAACTTGAGCAAACTTCGACAAAACTTGTCCAGCAGAAACCTGTCTGCTGGAACAAACTTAGGGTCTTTAAGGGGGCCTTAAAACGGACTTAAAATTTAAAGTAAGGTCTCATCGTAAACTTCAGGACGTAACTTTACAGAGTGAAACACCAACATTGACTTCCCTACTTCTTTAGGTAGCCTACAATAGTTGGTTGAAATATCGGCTGCCTAGGTCTGTGAGTCAGGCCTAGCCTTCGAGATTAGACAAAGTTCTATCAAATGAAAACTGGTAAAGTGATGGACGAAAACCTAAATGGTTTATTTCAAAGCTCACCCAAACAATGTAGATTATTGTTTAACCGAAACACTTCACTTTAGCTTGAAGAACTTCAGCTTCACGAATATTGTTAGCGAACAAAACAAACTTGCACACTTGCACGAAGTTATCGAGAACGACCAAACGAACGAACCACCAAAAAGCTGGGAATCAGAACGACCAATCCTTCACTCTTCTCTGTTCACCTCAGTCACAATTCAAGACGAGAAGTTAAACCGCTCGCTGATTGGACAGCAGAACCGAAGTCAGCTAAGCCCCGTGCCGGCGAAGGCAGGCGCATGACAGCTTCAAAAAGCTTTATAGCCGTGTAACCACAAGGAAGGTCGCATTTTCTCCAGACGCAGTCCAACGACCAAACTGACACCAACGTTGTCTGCAGTCTTGGAATTAGAGGTTAGGTATGATGTCAGTTTTTAGTGTTGCGACTATGCTTCTCCAACAGCCAACATCTGGCTGTTTAAGTTTTGTGGTTTAACCGTTATTTTACCCCCCCCCCCCCTCCCTACACATTTGGCCCGTAACAAATAGATTAATTTAAAATCAATCCAGGCAAATGAAAACCTGTAAAACAGTGATCATTTACTTTGTAATATGCTGCAACCATGTTTGTAAACTAGGGTTGCTTTCAGAGAGGTGAAAGCCAGTTGAGCGGAACAAACGTGATTTGATATTTGTATAAGTAACTAAATGTAAAAAAGTCAATAGATGTACTAATGCTGGTTTTATTGATTAAAATTATAATAATTCAGATTTGTCTTTACTACATATTGTTATTCAGATACCTCTTCCAAAAGTGCATTATGGTAGTTTTGACCAGGAAAATATTACAGTAGTTGGAATCTGGTATTAACATCCAAAAAGGGCATTAAAGAAAAAAAAGAGAAAGAAAATTTAACATTCAAATTCAACTGTAGCCTACAACAAAAACATTGGACTTCATTTTTCACCCTTAAAATCGGTTAAAGTAGGCTATATTAAAATATAAAAAAAACAGTAACTATTAAAAAAACGAGTATTAAAGTATAACATCAGGAGGGGAAATTTGACAATTAAATTCAACTGTGCAACATAAACATTGGTCTTCATTTCAACCCCTGCAATCGGTTAAACTCAGCTTTCTTTGCTGGAAATAATTTATGATTGTTAATACCAGGTATTCTTCTTGATGGAGGATATGATTGTAATGTAACTGGAATGTAGGTCTTCTACCATTATTAGGACGATGTCACGAATACTCATAAACCCCGACCTACCTTCCCCACATGCCTAAATTAGATCAGTGTTCAATCTGCGTTTTATTAATAAGTGTAATAACTTACTGCACCGTTCATGTAATTCAACATAATATAACCTGTGATGTATTATCGGATTAAATATCGGTTCGATATATCGCTTATTAAATCCTTATTTCTAACATTGGCTGTTTCTAATCAGCTGGCAACACAAATAGGTTCCTAGAAAGTAGTCACTGGTCCGTATCCCTCCGCTCCTTGTTTATGCTCCGCGCATTGAGAATGTAGTTCCGTATATTTTCTCGTTTTTCAGTGAATTCCGTGCATTAAAAAATGTTTTAACGGCATTTTCTTGTTTATTAAAATCGTAGGAATGTTTTAAAAACGTTTAAAAGAAAAGTCTAGAAACTTAAGAAATACTTTATGATTCTCTTGTTTACATTTTTCTTGTACACAAAAAACTGTCATATGGCTACTTTAGTCCCATAAGCCTAATGTTAAAATTTAGAAATTTTAAGTTCGTTTTAAGTTGCATTAGCATTATCTAATTGAAATTTGTTTGTTTATTAACCATCTCACTATTAGTCTAAGTAATCTTGTTAAGTTTAGCTGAAATGTGTTCTGCCGTTATTGAGTGATGTTGCTTTATTTGTTGCATTGAAGTTGATCCCAAAGAGCTACGCTCAATAATATAGGGTATTCTTGGTTTTTTATATTTTTGATAACCTTTTGTAATGTCGCATATTTGTGACGCCCGGTCTATAGCGTAGATAATAGTTATAATTTATAATTATTATATTTTTCTTGAAATAGCCCAAACGCCACATATATGTGATGGTTCATTTTTGTTTGTGTTTTTAGGTGAAAGTAAATAAAAAAATCAAGAACAGTAAATAATAATTGAACAAAGATAAAAGCTAGTATAATGCAGCATACATGCAGCAAAGTAAAAAGCGGTTTTTCCAACTATCATATGACGTCACCGATCATTAGGCCTATATCCACAGACTAAGCGACAGAGTTGAGCGACAGACATCCCTGTAGACCACTGCAGAGATTTCAGGGCCTTCAAATAGACCATTACAAAGATATAATCATTTTGATAACATTGGAACACCGACGCAAATATGCGACGTCAGTCTATTTTAATGTGACTAGCCAGTCTATGGAAAGAAATCGCTGGTCCATATGTACGAAAAATGTTGTACTATTGCGGTAGCGAACATGTTAATTACCCAAGTTATAGGGTGTACATAAAAAGTTAGCAAACATTAATTGGCAAAAGTCATTTTGTAAAAGTTTGTAGAAGGAACGCTTGCTAATGAAAGGTATATATTTTAAATTGTATGTCAACTGAATTGTAGGCCTAGGTTTGGACAGTTTCTTAAAAGTTGGATGGCTTGTTAGTTACTTACTTTGATCCCAAATCCTCTTCCGATATCGTTTTACCATCTACAATAGTAAATGCCCCGATTCCAGGAAGAACTAGTGACTTCAAAATTTCTGTTCCCATTCCAGTTGCATTGATTAGACAAATGTGAGCTGCTTCAAGAGCAGACTGGCCATGATCACCCCATAATCTGTAAATAACAGATTGTGGGATTAATTACAGAATGTTATATTAATATAATGCATATGAACCTAAATCAATGCTTGTAAAAATGATAGCTCTGGAAAACTATGAATGAGCTGCAGTAATTTTACATTCACTTCCTTTTAAGGTTCAACTTTCGTAAGGATGGTTCCCTAGATAAAAACTGCAATTGATTGATCATAGTCAGCTATTTTTATATGTTATCAATTTCAGTCAAGGCTAATTTGGGTACACTTCCATGTCTCTTGGCACAAACAACCGAATGAGTAATATTGATTAGGCTATTCAATTGTTTAATTCGATACATCGTTTGGTTGGTTAGGTTAGGTTAACCTTACCTAACTAACCAAATGATGTATCGAATTAAACAATCGAATAATTAATATTACTCATTCGGGTGTTTGTGCCAACAGATATGGAAGTGTACCCGCTAATTTAGTTATTAAGAGGGATACTTATATCATTTCAACGAACCTCAACTGTCGATCATATTTTTTGGTTTTCTCACTCTGTTCTGGAGATTTTGGAGCAGGTGAAGCCATTTCTTTGCAAGCTCTATATTGCAGTCGATAGACGATAATATTAAGCTCCTAAGCAAATAGGCCTAACTTAGTTGATATTTTGTTACGTTACAACTATGGGCTTAGTCCTGGTAGGCTATTTGACCTAGGACTAGCCTATGCAAAGGAATGACTACTTTCTAAACACTTTATTTCAATTCAAACAATCCTTTTGATTTCAGCTTATTGATGTAGCAATTAGTGAATGAGTAACACTGTTAGAGTAAAAATTAGAAAGAAAAATAACTACAATCCACAAACTACTTTTCATAAAAAGCCGATTGAATAAACGAATAAACAATAACAAAATTAAATTAGGTTAGTTTTAAGGAAAATTTTTCGTTTTCAACATTTTCAGCATTTTAGCTCATCACATCATAGCAGACAGTAGTCGGCTTTATTCCATATCATGTAGACACTATGTATAAGAATTGACTTGAGCATTGATTATCACAAAGAGTATTTTAAATAATTGACTATACATCCACATACATCTCCCTTGGCAGATGGGCAATCGCAAATATTTAATCTATGAAGTCTTGCACTGAATTTAGGATGACTCTACTAATTAACTATAAATTTTCTTGACGTTTTGAATGCATATAAACGTTGAATTTAGATAATTTGGATACTGTCGTAACTTAGCCGTTACTATAGAAAAGTGGCCAAAGTAATAAGAGTCCACTTACGATCATTGGTGGACATAGAAGAAGGAGCCGTTACGCAGCATCCAACTTCAGGCAGCGGGCAGGGATGAGTCAGGGCGCCTTTAACTCTAGGTCGCGGCCTGGTAGAATTGGCAACGTTGCAAGTAGTGTTGTATTGTCTAGCGCCAGATGTCCCATAAGAAAACATTGCAGACAGGCGACACCATTATTTCACGTATATAACATTATACCGTAAAGTTTAAAAATGTTATACAATTGGATGGATATATGTACAGTAAATTCCATAGGACTCTTGTCCGTGATAAAAAGCTCTTTCTGGACCGAATCCATCGCTTTATAGGTTGGAGGCCGTGTAATGGGTGACGAGGGTCGGTCTCTTGCTTAGTCCTTTCTGCGTCGGCTCGGCAGCGACATCACGTTGGATTGATGGAGGGGCGAGCCCTAGAGTTTGTGTACTGGGGTTGGTTTCAAACACCCAGTTACAATCCGAGCAATGTCATTGACTGCAATGTCAACCTTTTTTGCATGTGACGATGCATTCCATGCTGGTGCAGCGTACTTCGCAGCCGACACACTGAGCGCTAAAGCTGAGGTTCTGAGGACATAAGGGTTAGCACCCCAGCATCTGCTGGTGAGCTTCCTGATGATATTATTCCTCGCTGAGACTTTACCCCTTGTCGCAATACAATGCGCCTTAAATTTCAGTGTGCGGTCCAGTATGACACCAAGATATTTGGGTGTAGGACGATGCTGAAGCAAGGTCCCACTAGAAAAACTTTTTTCTAGTGGGGCCTTGGCTAAAAACGGTCTCTCCGCCACGTCACATTCAACTCACGGCCCGCTTCTCTATTGTTTAGGTGAAAGGCATAAACTTGGGTTTTAGCGGGGTTCGGCTTAAGGTTATTTGCGTCATAGTACTGGGAAAGTTCATTTAGAGTCATGCTTCTGTTCCACCTCTTCAAAACTTCTGGATTGCATTGAAACGTCGTTAATCTTTAAGTCTTAAGTTACACAGCCTTAATAAGCCATTACCATTGACTATTGTTTTTTTTTTGTATCATTGAGTATGTTTTATCTATGATTGTATTAATAGTCAATGTTATTAATTTCTTACATACTACTGTATGTAGTATAATTTTATAGTTTTCTATCCACTATGTCCTCTCCCTGTCTTGAAAAATCACGTAGTTCCTAGCTGTTATGATGATGTTTTCGTGATCGTGATCGTCGTCGTCGTCGTGTGGTTTGGTCGTCTGGGGGTGGATGATGTCTGCCTATTAGAATGGTTTGTTCCCACATTTTATTGTCTAATTTGTTGATTACTTGTTAAAATTAAGATTGGTTCAAGCCTAATTTGTAATATCTGTTAAATTAACTGTACTAGGAAATTAATAAAAATGTATGCCCTTTTATTCAAACTCTGTTCAAGCTGAAAAACTTGAACTAGTTTTCAATTAAAAAGATTACAGGAGACCAATATAATTTCTTTGATTGAGATTAGAGGATAAGTAAAGAATGGTAGCCCATTAAAGTTACCGGTATAAGAATACCAATAAACCGTTTAAATTAATAATCTCAACCTTGCTTACCCAGTTTATTATTGTAGGCGTAGGTAAGTTAGGGCCAAGATCATAGAAGTTGATAAACTTTACAAGATCAAAATTTATCTGTTCTGCCATCAAAGTTTAAGGTACGTGTTAGGCCTATAACACAATTTTTTCAAGGATATTCTCAATTCTCATGGGGTTTCAGTGTAGGACATTCGTCCTGGATGCCTGGTCTCAAATCCGTCTAAGTAACTTAATTTTCAATGGTTAACTTATTTGCATGTGATCAAGTCCTGACAATGATTTTTATCTCGGCTTGGTTCTGCTAACTTAAATTCATCTAGCCTACTAAAAGCGAGTGAGAGCTTTATTTAAATCTTAAAATTTGAACTGCCATCAAATTAACATTAGAGAAACTGCGGTGATGTCAATATCAACCCTATATCTGGCATTCAGGGATTTCTATACTTGCATGCCCCTTTTTACTGTATGTAAGTTACATATGATCAAACCTTTATATTTTTGCCTTTCCAAAGTACCTATATACCGGTACTTAGGCCTAGTTGGTGTCACCTGTGATTTCTACAGACCATGCCAGATCAGGCAACTTATTCAGCTGCACCTTAATGTACGTCCGACATTTACTCACATACTGCAGTTTGGTTAAGGTTAGGTTTAGTTTAGCACAGTTTCATTTTATAATCAGCTGGTAGTTAATGTATAGGCCTAATGTACAATAGTAAATGTAGGCCATAAACTACAGTGGAACCACTTATTCTTCTACACTGTTAAACGGTTGTTGCTAGAGCCATTAGTGGAAGGTTTTTGCAGCTTATCAGGACTGGACCAAAACGACTGACTTTAAAGAATAGATTACAGTTACCTACTATTTGTCATACAGGCCCTAGCTATTTGTTTAAGCTTAGGCCTAGCCTACTCTTCATCATATTTAAAGGGTCCATAATATTGTATGGTTAAGTTACTATCTAATCCATTTGTTCCAGCCTACCCATCTAGCAATGTAACCTGAAAAGAGCAGTGGTGTTATCTACACCCACAACTAGTTTCGATGTCAGTCGGACATGGAAGTAACTGAGCTTTTTGTCGCGTTAGAATCCAACCAGCCTCAAATTTTTGAAGATTGTAAAAAGAAATTTCATGAGCTGTTTAATTCTTGTAAGTATTTTAATTTGCAGATTGCACTTTTATTTTAAAAAGTTAGCTTGAGATTTCTCAACTTTTAAATGGATTGTAATTCACATGAAGGAAATAAGCTTTAATAAAAGTTTCTGATTGTCTTGAGTCCTGTGTAGGCCTATTCAATTTTGACTTAGGCCCTACCCTTTGAACTCGCATAGATGTTAGTATATGGATATTTTGAAGTCAATCTCGGTGGAAGTGTTGGGTTAAAGGTTTGAAGATAAACATTTTTTGTCAATTTATTAAACATATAACTTTTAAACTAGATAAAAACTGATCTTTATGCGTAGGATTTCACGGGCGATGTCATTGAAATCCATGGTGATGGTTTTCGGCGTCATTCGTCACCATCACCAACAATGAATTTCAAACAAAGAAGTCATTCGTCAGTTGTATTTATATCACTGGCAGACGATTCGCCCTTACTATGAAGTGGCATTCTCAGTGGCTAGGCTCTTCAAGTCTAGAGAAGTTCGTCCAGGTATAGGCCTACTTATAGCTGGGGTGCAAGAATAGCTGGGGTGGAATGCAAGAATGCATAATCCCCTTGCTCTGGCTGTTTCTAGTAAACAAGCTTAGGTAATCTCGGATTCCATGACTTTGGAAGCTACGTCTGGGCAATGTGGCCTCACGGGAGGGCAGCTTGCAGAGTTTTTGGACCATCTCAATAATATCAACACCAACATAAAGTTCACGATGGAAGAGGAAAGAGACAGGAAACTCTCATTCTTGGATGTACCGGTACTCACTACAAGGAAGGAAAACGGAACAATCGGCCATGCTGTGTACCGACACATACCAACAGATATTTAAACGCTCTATCACATCACCATCCAGCACAGAAAAACGGCATATTAAACACACTGATAAATAGAGCCATCCGCATCTCGGACACAGAAAAAAGGACTAGTGAAGAAAAAGTGATAACTTCGGCCCTTTTAAGCAACGTTTACAGTAAAAAAAGATATTAAGAAATGTTTTAAAAGACAAGATTGTAGGCTAGCACAAGTAACAGCAACCGATAACCAAAAAGTCTGAACGAACTTCTCTGGCTTAGTCTCAGCCTAGCCACTGAGGATGCCCACTTCATAGTATGCCAAAGGGCGAAACGTATGGCAGTGATGTACAACTGACGACGCGGTTGACGCCGAAAACCATCACCATGGACTCCAGAATCTTTGTTGTGATAAATTCTCATAAAAAACAAATATGTATTTATTTTACGCACCGGTACCTACTAGACTTGATAAATAAACCTTTGAATTCATCATGTAATTTTTTCCTGTTTATTCCTGTTTTAGCTGGTGACACATGGTTGGTCAGTGGCTTATTCGATTATGCTATGCAAACAGGATCTTTGAGAACAGTTGAAATTTTGGTGGGAATTCGAGAGCCACATGATATATATCTTTTTAACAAGTAAGTACAATCATTTCTATTTCACTAAACTTACTTATCAACATTCAGTATCGGTGTTTGTTAGAAGTGTTTTTAGTACCCTGTATTTGTGATGAAAAAAAAAACAACTGACGATGTTGATCGTTGACAGTATGTCTACAGTGTAGCCTAGGTAGTATTGTTTTAAAGAATTTAGGATTGCAATTAGTCCATATATAGATTATAGAGTAAACAGTAATACTTAAAAGTAGTATTGTTGCCCTTAAGTAGAAGTAAGCAGCTCCTTTTAGTCTATTAGGTCTATTAGTATAATCCCAGGCTTTGAGCCCCGAGGTCCCAGGTTCTAATCCCGCCTAACAGTTTTTAGCTATGTGATAACACCGCAATCCTACTAGGCCTCGCGTAAAGTAATGTGTTGAACCAGCGGTTCCCAACCTTTTTAATTGTGGGCACCACATATTTTGAAATTAAATTAATTTGAAATTAAACTTTGAGGCTCACTTACTAAATACACAAGAAAAATAATTAAAACCGTAACGGATAAGGGTTATATATTATAATATATAACCAATATATCCTATAACGTGTAACTCTTAATAAAATATGTATACAAGGATTAAACAATCAACAATTTTAAGAATTCTTCTTCACTGGAAGACATTTTCAACTTTTTCAGGTAATCTTTTTCAAATGGATTCCTTATCCATAGAATCTCAACGTCCAATTTAGGGAAGTACTTCCTAAAAAACATGAAAAGGCTCAATATCGGCTCTAGTCCTAGGACAGGTAGTAGATTTCTCATTTAGATGAATGAATAATAAAAAATTTTAAAAAAAGTTTTAAGAAAAGCAGCTAAAACAAATTAATGTGAATATAATATTGTTCTTATAATATTAAGAAAACAAATAAAATAATTTTAAATTACCTGAGGTTGGAGGCCAAAGATTTGAGTGATATTTGATGGTTGTAGCTGTTGTTTCGTTGATTTCCACTTCGTTGGTTTCCAGAAAATCATGTGTCGAAAGAACCAAGTTCCACTTTTGAAGCCCAACGTTGAAGTTTTATTATCATAGCTTCCAATTTGTCTTGTACCAAAAACTTATCAACGTCCTTGCCTTGCAGAGTTAAATTAAGAATGTTGAGAGCACCAAAATTATCGACCAATTATGCCAACCGTTTCAACCAGTTTTCATTGGTGACATGTTCTAAGAAGGAACTTGCAAGTTTCTCATCACAATCTCCATCCATAAGGAAAACTCTAAGTTTGTCACGGAGTTCAAATAAGCTTTGATATAAATTTTTCCTCTTGATAGCCAGCGAACTTCGCAGTGAAGCAAAAGCTGCTGCTGTGTTCACTGCCCATTTTGTCTCACATAACACCAAAGAGTCTGGAGTTTTTAGGCCTAGATTTACTAAAGTTGACGATTTTTACTGCATCGTAAAGAGATTTTTTGAGATGCTTGTCCAAACCATTAACTGCCAGAGCCTCTCTATGTATGCTGCAATGTGTCCATTTAACTAAAGGAGCAACAGACTTAACTTATGGCAATTAAGCCAGTACGGATTCCAGATATAGCACAAGCCCCATCAGTTGTCAAACCTACACACCTTGTACATCTAGGCCTAGGCTACATTGAATGTTCCATATTGCTCGAGTTATAAACTCAAAGTCAATATCAAAGTTATCTTCTATATTGTCATCATCAATATCACTTAAATAACTTTTAAGAATCACAAAAGTCATGGAGTTTGCCACATTACTTGAATGGAGATCATTTAACCCATTTTTAACACTGATACCGAAACCTTGGTCTGACAGGCCCACGGGAATTTTTGAAAACGCATGTTGGCAACACTGTTTACTTGGGAGATTCCATTCACCCAATACCTTTCCCCCTTTTCCTCCCCTACCTATTGATATATTGTTTGTTCATTTTGCATGGGTGCCGTGACCTTGACAGGTTGTCTGTTCACAAAATGTCCGTCTCAGAAGCCCTGCGTTAGTGTATTTTAAAGCGGGGTCTCACAAGCCGAGGGTTTTGGTTTGTGTGTTTCTAAGCGGGGTCCATTATTTTTCAAATGGGGTCTCACAGACCGGGGGTTTCGGTTAACGTCAGCCGGAGTAGGGTTTCGGTATTAGTGTTAAACAATTCACCACGCATAGCAATCGACAACAACAAAATAATTTGCCATTCGCAAACTCACGATAGCTGTTTCAGTTGGCAGTTTAGTCAGAGAGAAACAACATCTATATAAATAAAATTAGAGTTTTGTCTGTACATTGCTTAGAATAATGAACTTTTTGGTTATTTTTACATTTCATAGGTCAGAGAAACCGAATCAAACCTTATCTCAATTTCTGTCTGTCTGTCTGTCTGTCTGTCTGTCTGTCTATCTGTCATTCTCTTGGTAACGCTAAAATACGCACTTTATTACAACTACTCCTCAATAACTATAGCACTGTCCCGCCTGAAACTTATTTTCCAAATACTATACATATATGAGATGGTTTTAGACGTATTTCATCGAATATGAGACAGTTAGATATTTAACAGTAAACCCTTGAAAATCAAGTTTTTGTCGATTTTTGACGTGGAATTTCTGGAAGCCCATGTTAACCTTATGAGAAATGAAATTATTGAATCTTAACAGCTGTTTCAATTAAACAAGTTGGTTCTGTTCTGTGATGTTCAATAGCATTAAAGTTACAAGGATTACCAACAGGGTGCAGCACTAGCACTATTATTTCTTTTACATTTATGACAACAGCTAATTTGCAACCTGGAGGCGAGTGAGCGTAGCGAACGAGCTAACCTGAAGGCAAGTGAGCGTAGCGAACGAGCTAACCTGAAGGAAAGTGAGCGCAGCGAACGAGCTCCAACATACAGGTGAGTGAGCGTAGCGAACGAACTTCAACCAGGACGTGATTGAGCCATGCAAACGAGATCAGATAGTAAAAATAAAAGTAAGCCTACCGTTATAGGATCGACCGGCAGACACAGAGGTAATTTAACCTTTTATTGATTGTCATACCGATCCGGAACAACAAAAAACAACATAAAATGAAGCTATGTATAATAGTTTGGCCAGCATATCTTAAAATATGCAAACCAACTGCTGTTCTTTATATAAGAAGGTTTCAACTGAATATTATAAGATCCCCGTGCGTAGAACGGGTACACAGCTAGTTTAACCATAAAAATACATCGCTAAACGGCCCAGTCCAATAGTCGCCATGAAGCCCTGAACTAGCTGAACAGTTTTGTATAAGCCGGGGCATTGAACACGCATATATTAAAACAACAAACGAAACTTAGAGCCTACAAACTCGCCCGATTTTGGGTGGGGGACACTCGTACACATCAGAAAACCCGCCCAATTTGGAGTGGGTGACACTGAAAGGGTTAAAGGATCAACCGTTAAATATAGGCCTATATACTCACAAAGTGAATATTCAAAGATATTATACACTATGATCAGCAAGTTATCAAGCTCTTTAGCTGCTCATGAAATGTACAAGCCTATCACGAGTTAGAAAATGTAAGGTATACTAGTACCATCTGGAACATCGCCCTCGATCTGACAACATGGCGGCAAGTGATAAGCCTCTAACTAGTGTTCTATTAGTTGTTAGTTGAACACGTAATTCGTTGTGAAATGCAATGGCACCTATTTTGGATTTGAAACGATTACTAATACGAGCGAATGAACTTGGAATTCGTATATATCATACGTGAAGGCGATTTCTACGAAACACTACTCCTCCATTAATAATGGACAAATTTTTACAAACGAGGTGTCATAATTAAGTATTTGTTGTATAGACGCCCCCTTTCAACAATTCCTGCAATAAAAGTCCTCGGGCTTTGCCCCACAGGCCATCAAAATCCCAATGTATTTTTTATGAAGGAAAGATTTAGTTTACTAAACAAACAGACCAATAATTTGTATTAATTGCAGCTGTTCATAATACACACAAGAGCTTTCGTTTTCAGAGTGAGTTCGTTTTCAGTTTCGATAACTAGAGTGAAGTAATTGATAACATTATCTTTGAGTAGACTTTTTTAAAGTCATTAGAAATTATGACTGTTAAATTAGTTAGAAGTTTGTAGGTCCCTTAGTTGCCATTAGCTGTATGGGCTATTAATTAACAGCTGTGTCTAAGGCATGTCGGCCTTAGTCACTAACAAGACTAGATTGCGCCACTCATCCTACACTCATCTCCATTCATATTTGGCTTAAAATACCTACTTTGTATGGTCGCCATTTAATAAGAAAGAAAGTATTAAAGAAAGATATAATGCCTCTAATACTTAGCAATTGCTCGAATTCGAGCAACAAGTGCACTAGTTATTTATATTAGCTGACTTTGGAGTATTCCAAATAAACTATGATGTGCCACTCTTTACAACCTTCAAGATCTGTCAAGTTCTGCATCATAATAATTAGGCGTATCCTAATTTTTCAGAATCGGTATCGAGTACAATGAAGCGAAGTATCGAGTATCTGTACTGTTATACTGTTCTATGAAATGGCGACCATACAAAGTAGGTATTTTAAGCCAAGTATGAATGGAGATGAGTGTAGGATGAGTGGCGCGATCTTGTATCGGCGATTCTTCGATACCGCTGGTATTGAAGGTATCAACAATCAGAATTAGCCCATCCCTAAGTATCTCTTTAAGATTAAGTTAAGCCTAAACTGTATGAACAAATCAACAACTCTAAATCAAGATTAAAAAATCCTTTTGCAGATTCTGTGAGAGCCTACGCAACAACAATAAAATAAACAGCCTGACGTTGCTGGGACATATCGTCCGAAGGCAACCGACATGGCTGTACAAGATTGCCAAGCACTCGCTGTTCAGGGACCTACTTAGGCTACTAAAGGTAAGCTTTCATAGTCAACTAAACACTTTTTTGTACAAAGGAACATTAACCCATAGACCTCATAAATCCCATAGACAACTAGTAGGGCCCATTGAGGGTACTTGAGTTGAACCTACTCTAAGAGTTAAATTGGCAAGTTTTGTAGATCGGTCAATGATATAATAGCTCTTGACATTGTAAATGTGATTTTGGCCATCTTTTAACCTTTTTATTTGGGATAACACTCTCAAAAGATAATATAAATTTGTATTAAACTAGCATTCTGTTTGATAGAAAATGTCTACCTACAGTACATTAAAATATAGTTGTACAGTAGAGCCCCGCAAACTCCTAATTTACGAGGGTTGTTTTTTTTCAACCTCCGATAGGCTATGAACAAAAGACAAGTTCATATAAAACATTAAATTTATTACGAAAAGTTTGGTCCATTTATGATTACTTTTTGACATAATCACCAAAGAGATTGAGACATTTGCTATATCTGTGCACCAGCTTTTTAATACCCTCTTCAAGAAAAGTGGCCGCCAGTACCTACATTCAAAAAACAAAAAACAAAAAAATGTCAAAAAAATAAAAAAATCAAGAAAAAATAATAAAAGGACTTTAAAATTTCTAGAAATTCAGTAAACAAAGCAATAATGGTGAATTTGTGGTTTATTTAACCATCCTGTCAAACTGTTGAACCAAGTCATCTGAAACGACAGTAATGAGCTGGTTCTACAAGTTGGCAGAATGGTTAAATAAACCACAGATTCGCCATTATTGATTTGTTTACTGAATTTCTAGAAATTTTAAAGTTTTTTTTTATTTTTTCTTGATTTTTTAACTTTTTTGACATTTTTTTGTTTTTTGATTTGTTTTTTGTTTTTTGAATGTACTGGCGGCCACTTTTCTTGAAGAGGGTATTAAAAAGCTGGTGCACAGATATAGCAAATGTCTCAACCTCTTTGGTGATTATGTCAAAAAGTAACCATAAATGGACCAAACTTTTGGTAGTAAATTTAATGTTTTATATGAACTTGTCTTTTGTTCATAGCCTATCAGAGGTTGAAAAAAAACAACCCTCGTAATAACCCAGCAGTCTGGTTAACTCGGCCATCACCTGGCTCAGAAAACTATTTTGAGTCCGAGTTAAACATGGACTCAAGCCAGCTCAAGTCAAATCATTCGCAGCTCATACTAAGGATTTGTTGTACTATATCTGATGAATTAATACTAACTTGTAAAAAACCGACAAGGTTGAAATTTGGTATGATGATAGCTGACATTCCCGATTAACATACAGACATATTCTTACCTCAAAAATCCTTTCGGGCTCCGCCCCAGTCGCTCTGGAGTTTCTCATGTCAACCTTGTGAGTATTCATATTTAAAGGAATTAAAGAATTTTGTCAGCCGTTTCAACTGCACGTACGTTGGTTCTATGATATTAAATAGCATTAAAAAGTTATAAGGCTTACCAAAAGGGTGCAGCACTATTATGTTTTTTGCATTTATGACAACAGCTAATTTGAACCAACTAGCAACAAAAAGTTGTGGTACACAATAAGAACTTTACTTTTTTCTATAGTTTAGGTGCAGTGGTAGAACATTAGAGCTATGTTAGATGTGTGCTACACTAAGGAAATAAGAGAAATAAAGAGAAATAAGAGAAAAACAGTGATAGATTTGAATTCTCAGCAAATTATAACAAAACCAAATGCTCAATTTCTTGGCTTAACTATTGATCAGCATCTAGATTGGAATAACCATGTGGACAAAATTTTACCAAAAATTAGTTCTGGAATATTTGCTTTGAGGAAAATGTCTTTTTATTGTAATATTGAAACAATGCGTAAAATCTATTTTGCATACATACATTCCCATATTGCTTTTGGGATTTGTTTATTTGGAGCAACTTCAAAAATTAATCTTGAAAATATATTAAAAAAACAAGAATATGCAATTAGAATAATGCTAAAACTACAGCGTGATGCCTCTGTGAAAAAACACTTCGTTGAACTCAATATTTTGACAGTCTACGGACAGTATATTTTTGACTGCATTTTAATGGCAATTAAGAAAGCTGATTCTCGTCCTTCAGATTATATTTCAACCCTTCATAAATACAATACTCGACATAAAGACTCCATAATAACATATAAACATCATACAAAATTTTTTGAAAAGAAACCTTCCTACATCGGTCAAAGATATTTAAATACAATTCCAAAAGAAATTAAAAAAGAAAGTAATAAAAACAAATTTAAAAAAATATTAAAAGAATATCTGATTAAAATAGCTCCGTATTCTTTTGAAGATTTTTTCCACCCATCACAGTCATAATGAATGACTGTGTGGTACATAAACGCTTTTTCAGTCTCCTCTGCATAGAGTGGATGAGATTGTCACTTAGGCTAGTTTGAGTTGTTGTACAACCTGACACTATTCGATGTATATATTGTACAAAATAATGAATAAAGAAGTTTGAATTGAATTGAATTGAATTGAATTAAGGATACCAAATAAATTAAAAGACCACATTTTCTTAAACCGTGTCGTCTCCCATAACTGCAATAAGCATTTTATAATTGTATGCCAACCCCGTATGAAGGACGGGTACTCTGCTAGTATAAACATAAATAAAGGAGGTAGTTAATAAGCTTAAAAATTGTATTGTTCTTATTTTTAACCCTACTTCCTGATAACCCGGCATTTCACAACTAGGCACTCTTCCAGTCCACATTACGCCGAGTTTGCAGGACTCCACTGTAATAGTGTTTTATTAAGCTAACGAAATTGATTGAAAAAATACAATCTTAATATGTTTTACTTTGCAGACAGAGACAGAGTTAATACCACTGATGAGTGCATTGCTGGTGATAAACATTCTTCTGCCGATGGTGGCCGGTCTCATGGATACTTACCTGCAGGAGATCTTCCAAGTATTTAGGTATCCAAGTAGCTGTGTCTTATCAATGTGGTTGAGTTGGTGGCTCAGTTGGTAGTAGGGGTGTGCGAATAGTGATATTTGGGTTCGATTCTAATCAAATCGAATACTTCATAATATTTTCGAATATCTAATACAACCGAGCAAATATTTATGTTATTATTATTAGGGGTCTGCGGGTCCCCGATTTTTTCGGGTCGGGTCGGGCCAGCGGAAGGCCCGAGAGACCGGGTCGGGTCAGAGATTTTTTCGGGCCAAGATCGGGTCGGGCCAAAAAAAAAAATTATTATTTTCAAAGTTATAATAAGTAATTTTCAAAGAAACACTCTTATATATATCATTACAGAGGAATTAAAACGTTAAAATTATAATTAAATATTAAGTTTGCTCACGTTTAAGAACAAAGACACAACAGAGCAAATGCCGTACTGTCACTAGCCAGAGCCAGTCGTCTACTGACAAAACAAAAGCCGTGACGCAACAGTGCAAAGAAAACGAAGTCAAAAGAAAGACTATTTATCCAGAGGTACCAGTTTAATTATTTATTGTTTATTCCATACCTAGTTTAAAATATATTTTAGTATTTTATTTACATAATAAATTATAAACAAAAGAAATATCTGATATAGTGTACAGATCTGTATCTTGTTCTTTTATTTTCCTGTGTCCTTTTTGTCATTCAGTAACAAAACAAAACAACACTTCTGATCGTCTGGTTCGGCATTGTATGGTCACCATTTAATTTTTTTTTAAGTATCAAGTATCAGCAAGTCTACAAAGAGGTTAGGCCTAAATATTTTAAAATTTTATGAAAGTTTTTATCAGTAAAATTATTTTTTTCTTAAGTTAGATTGAGTTTCAAAAAAGATATTTCTAAGATCCAATACAATATTTACAAGACACAAACTACCATGAATTAATTTCTTTGGAAATTATCTGTAACAGTTTTATATTTTTGAATAAAGAAAATATATCTTTTTGTCTCTACTTCCTTGTTTTGTTACTTGCATTTTGTCAGCAATTGGAACAATCGGGTGGTGTAATAGGGGTGGGGGAGGGGGAGGGTCTATGACCTTGAGTGTCCCCGGGCCTGGCTCTGGTTGTGTAAGAGGGGCGGGGAGGGGAGGGGGAGGGTCTGTAACCTTGAGTGTCCCCGGGCCTGGCTGTGAGAGTGGTTCATGGTTTTTTGTTTACATTCTACTACCCTTCCCCCTTCCTTCCAAGAAAAAGACCCTACAGTTTCAAAAACATCGACTTACAGTATAAAAACATTGAGTTGTGTTGCTAATTAGGACACTATAATGTCTCTGCTGTCTGCTTATGTTGCCAAATTAGCATTTAACTTTCTTTTCTCTTGATTTAATATAATTTTCTATATATTAAGAGTTCCTTTTCAGGTACCTAATTATTGTGATATTGTTTGACTTGAGTTTATGGATTTTTAATTCTTTTCATTTATTAGCTAAAATCAGTTGTTTTAGGATTTTAATCTCTTGCAATACCGTAGGTCTTTAACTGTGTATGACATGATATATGCAATTTTTACAGTCTTTACTATAACTAACTAAACTATACCATAAACAATGTATGTGTGTTATTTACTGTTTTAGAGTTTTTAAAGTGAATTAGTTTACTCACAATCTTTTCTTCAATGAGTTCTCCACTTGTCATGTTGCTTAGTCTATTACTATTTTAGGCCCTATAAAAAATAATTCCTATGTAAAGCTGTAGGCCTAGTAATGCCAATAATAAATAATTCTTTATTTATGATGATGTAACTAATAATGCTATTGTAAGTGTGAGGTTTTTATACTTAGGAGGTTAGGAGGCAGGGAATGAATGATTCATATTGCATGGTGGAAACATAGAATTTTTATTTTCTTCTTGCTTGCAGTCTTTAAGCCAGTCCACAGGCCCTAAACTTGAGATAAGGTTAATTGATTTGTTTATGATCCTTTTATATTAAGTTCCATTACAAACTTGTTGTAATATAGCTGTTTAGATATTTCAACAGTTATGAAAATGGGAAAGAATGGCTTGATAAAAAAAAATATTTCCTTCTTTCTTGCAGTTGAGGCAACTCCTAAGCTGTAAATAAGTTATGAACATGAAATAATATACATAAATACAATCGTTTTTCATATGTTATTTTTAAGTAATATTATAAACACAGATAGGAGTTAAAAAAAGAAAAAAATCTGGTAATTAATAATTTTTGGCCCGACCCGATTTTGGCCCGAAACCCGAGGACCAAAATTATCGGCCCGACCCGACCCGACCCGAACCAAAAAAGTCTGACCCGCAGACCCCTAATTATTATAGACTCCAAAGAGTTTTCCAATCACAGCTTTGGAACTCTACTAAGGTCCTGATTTTAACCAATGTTACATTTTAAAATAATCTATTTTTGTTCTTACCTATTTGTTCTTGGTACAAAATCGGTACAGTACAGGGCTTCCAGTATTTTCTCATTTTATTTCATTGACATAACTATAAAAATAAATAATTTCCTACATTAATGGTTTTCTAACAACAATTACAGTATCACACAATATCAAAACTTTTGACTCCTAACATGATTATGTCAAGAAAGAAACGGTTAAAAAGGCTTAACCTATTTTACTACTAAGATAGGTCATAGCCATAATAAAGTCGTTAAAAATCATGTTAATAATTTTTAGGAATAAACATGTTTGTAGCAACATTTTGACAAGAAAATGTAACACAACTGGTTACTTTTTTCCAACCAACACAATAAGTTTAATTTAAACTTTTAAAAACATATAAATGCATTCAGCACAAACAAAGACAGTCATAGTCGTCAGCTGTTGCTGTTACCATTCAACAGACGACAATGAAAGACTAGAGGTTATGATGAAGTTAAGTCAAAGAGGAAAAATTCAAAACATAAATAGTCTATAATAATATCAATATAAATTGCAAATGTTCCACAATTTCTAAAATAATAATGTTTCGGTTATAAACTAATTGTTATTAATAAAAGTATTGTAGCAAAACAGTTTATATCTGAACTTAACACTGTTATTCCATGTAAAGAGAATTATTACTTAACCCCCATTAACGTAATTGGATTAACCGCGTTGCTGGGACCTTTCCAGGAAAATAAGTAAATTTAAATTAAGAAAAACAAGACATTGTTTTTTTTTTTACTGCATGGTCTTTTTCTCGGAAAGAAGGGCAGTAGGATGTAAACAAACCATTATCATTTGTCTCCAGTAGGGCTCGGGCATTCTCAAGGTCAAAGACCCTCCCCTCTTACACCCCCCGTTTGCAATACAATGCTCCAATTGCAGACAAATTTGTGTAACAATAACAAAGAAAGTATAGTTAAAGATATTAAAGATATTTTTAAAGATATTTATTTCTCTGTTCAAAAATAGAAAAATGTTGCAGATTATTTTCATAGAAATTAAATCACAGTAGTTGATGTCTTGTTAAGGAGTATGTTTAATCTATGCCAAAGCCTGTAAAGTGCAGTTCTAACCTCATAGCTTGCTAGTTGCTACCCAGACAACACTTTCACTAAATTGTTGCTAAATGTATAGGCTATTGTTAATTAATCAATTAAAAATGGTTGACAGTCTTATGTTTCCATGCCGGTGTCTAAAGATAAATTGGGAAATTTCGTGTTTTGAGGGTCAAAAATGAGAAAAACCAATTTTTACCCCATAAGACCCCCATAAAACCCTGTTTCCATGGTCCGACCATGCTGGTTCGCGAACTCATTCAAGTTTATCCCGCCTTTCAAGTTTACACCTTCAAACCGAATTTCATCAAAATCGGACAAAAATTACTCAAGTTATTGCATTTGGGGACACATATATAAAAATATTTGAACAAATTGTGTTTTTGGCCTATGGGGACTTCAAAATAAATCGGTCTCGGTCCTAAATTCGCTAAAATGTAGGATTTTTAGGCTATTGTAATGGTTGCAAGGCTTTATCCCACCTCTGGCAAGAAATTAGCTATTAAGCTAGATAGCTTCAAGGCAGTCATCTTTTGCAACGTTCGTTTAGAGCCATGCAGCTTCCTCATTCATATCTTATGAATCTAAAAAAGAACCAATAACGAAGTCTGATTCAGGTCTTTTTACTTGAGCTGTGCAATTGTTGTAGTTTTTGTTTTTAAATGACACAGTATTATTTACAATTTGGGTTTGCTATTGATTACAAATAAATTCTATGTCGTGTATTCAAATGGAAAAAAATGGCAACCAGAGTAATAAAGATTGTCCAAGGTTGCGTGCCCAATTTTTTTTAAAAAACCTGTGTTACTTTCCAGTGTTATAGTTATCAGAAATTAGAGGATTTTTTAAGTTTTGATTATTTTGGATTTGTTGAAAACAAATCTTTGTTTAAGTTTTGGGTGGAACAAGAATGATGATCGCCCTAATTTAAAGTTTTGGTCTTGGATGTATCTGTCTCGGGACTTAGTAAATCACACAATTGGTTGATGTTTCAGTCACCTTGCTGTTTGGGACACGACCAACCCGACCAAGCTACCAGAACCTCATCTGCTGCACCTACAGATGGCGTTGTATGCTCTGTTTCTGCGGCTATATGGCATGTACCCATGTAGCTTCATCAACTACTTGAAGCAGGAGTACAGTCATCCACATAAGAGTGCTATTTACAACCACACCATCAAGGTAAGGCTTTTGATTTACACCGTCGATAAAAATTGTATGATCGCTAACTAAATTATAGGCTAGTTGAACCTTTTTTCTAATCTCATTGAAAAATATTACTGTGTTAGGTGGAAAGCAATAAAATGAAACCCCTTTGACATATCTTCAGCTTGTTAAATAATATTATGTTGGTACAGATTAAAATCAGCAAAAGATTGAACTTTATGAAAGGGATTTTCATTTGTCTTAGACTTAGGCCTACTTTAAAATGTTATTACAGTAGAACCTCGATTATCCGGGTTAATGGGGGGAGGGAGATGACGGAGAACTGAAAACCACGTTAAATCCAACACGCCGTAAACATGTATTACATACCCATAAAACGCCTAATATTATATAAATGGACGTTAATGTGATGATTAATTTATTTTACATCATCAAAATACAGTTATTATTGCACAATTATGATTTTAAGTCATTAACCATGGATTTAGTAATAAAAACACGCATACTCAAACAAAACAAAAATTGCTAAACACTGTATGGCAATAAATCACTTAAAGAACAGACGATCCCAGGAAAATCACAGTCTTCTAAATGTCCCGTTATACAAAACCATAATCTGTCCCTCCCAAGTTCCTTGGAGTACTCCTTGATGAAAATCTCAGTTTTCATTAACATATTGAGCATGTAGTAGGAAGGGTTTCGTCAGGTATTTTCATGCTCCAACAAACAGCCAATACCGATGTACTCCTGTCTGCATACTATGGGCTCATTAGTCCCTATCTGACATACGCCATTCCTGTATGGGGCTGTGAAACACAGAGCACGCTGTTTTTGTTCAGACTCCAGAGGAAGGTGATCCGTATTGTGTTCTCCCTTCCAAAACATCACTCCTGCAAAGAAATATTCAGATCATTCAGAATACTTACCTTTCCATCCATCTATATTCTGGTAATGTTGTCATTCGCTCAGAAAAACGTCCAAAAACTTCTTTCACCACACCAGTAAACCACAGATATTCTCTCCGGAACACTACAAACCTTGCCATTCCCTGTCATTCATATATTCCCTGTAGATCAAGGTATCGAGTTAGTTGAAGAACACATGAGCCAAGTTATAGACCGCTACAAACAGGACTCTTCTGTAGGTTTTGCTCACACTATATCGAGCGACCTTGACCATGCCAGAAATATGTCAGCTGGTGTTGCTGTTGTCTTCAAAAACAAGTTTGGTAGACCACGTCCCTGCGATTTTATTGCAGACAAACTCACCTGTCAGAATGTAAATCAAGGCGCTTTTGTTTACAGCCTGGTTACCAAACCGATGTATAGTGGGAAACCAAAAAAAGACGACTACAATGAAGCCTTTTCTCAACTCACACGGGATTTTAAAGCAAAAGGACTAAAAACATTAATCTGCTCCCCCATGGGTTGTGTGAGGGATCTTATTGCACCAGAACACTTTATCAAAAAAATTATGGATTTTCGTCAAGAAACAGGGGCTGCAGTGTTCATCGTGAGCTACAATCAAAGATCACAAAGAGAGCTAAGACAGGGACTATCACATGGCGAATTCCAATTGAAACTAGATGTTCTGATAAAGGAATACAGTTTGAAGAACTCAGCTGATGATACAGTTACCATCACCCCCACTCCACAATCGGGAACAGATGCTAACATCTACACTCCTTGTGGGACTCACGAGGTTGACGTCAACACGCCCACCACACCACCCGAGGTTTTTGTTGTGGTAGTGCTTACTGCAGAACTGGTCATATAAGGGGGGGCTCTTTAGTTTTCACTAAAAATTCTTTGCAGGTTAAAATGTGTGATTTGGATCAGTTTTGTTCTGAAATTAGTTTAGAAGCAGCAGCGGTCTTTATCGAGGATTTTAAATTAATTTTCGTCTCTGTCTACCACTCACCTTCGGGCAACCCTGTGGTTTTTCTTGAAAATTTTGATAAATTATTAACTCATCTCTCTCGTTGGACTAATTATGTTTCAATCATCGGAGGAGACTTTAATAAAAGTTTTGACTTGACTCAGAACAACTACCTCTCTAAACAATTTCTTAATATACTACGCCAGCACAATTTTCACTTCTTAAATCACTTCCCCACTCGAGGCAACAATTGCCTGGACAATGTATTAACAAATTGTAGTAAAAACGCAAATATAAGCTGTAAAGTATTTGATTTCCCCTTCTCTGACCATAACGGTCTTCTAATTAATTTGACTTTGAATTTGGATAAGGATTGTGTTAATCAATATGCTGCTTTAAACTCTTTTTCTAAAGTAATTTTGCCAAAAGATTTGGTTGGTTTATTAGTAGAAAAGCTTGGTACTTATGATTGGATACAAGTGCTTAATTGTATAAATTCAACAGCAGAAGATACGTTCAGAGTTTTTTTCAAAGTTTTAAAAGATAACATTTCTTATTTTTCTAAAGTAATAAAAATTCAAACTGAAAATTCGAAAAAAATAATTGTAATGCTTGGTATAATAGTGAGTTAAGAGTTATGAAAGAAAGATTAATTTTTCTAGATAAAATAGTAAAAAATTTTGAAAGCGTGTCAAATGAAACAAAACAAGCATATAATGGGTTAAAAAATCAATATAAGCATTCAATTAAGAAGGCCAAAATAGAATATAACACAAATCTCATAGAAAAAAGTAATAACAAATGTAAAACTGCCTGGCAAATCATTAAAACCAGTAGCAATTCTTTAATCAATACAAAAAAACCCAAAATATCTCCTGATGTTTTCAATACCTTTTTCATTGAATCAATAATTGAAAACATAAAAATGAAAATTGTTAGTAATGCTTACAGTTCAAAAGATTTAGTTAATAATTCTTCCATTACTCCTATACCTTTTTTCTGGAATTTTATCACACCTAATGATCTAATAAAAGCCACAAAAAAACTAAAAAACTCTAGCAGTAATTATGTTTATCTCATGTCTAATAGTTTGCTTAAACAGATTATTGGTAATCTAGCTGAACCTCTATCTTACTGCTTTAATCTCTGTCTCCTTGAGGGTGTCTTTCCAGATGAATTAAAGGTCACCAGAGTCTGTCCCATTTTTAAAAAAGGTAAAAAAGATATTCCAGAAAGTTATCGCCCAATATTAATCATTCCTGTAGTATCAAAATTGTTTGAAATCATGGTTTTTGACCAGCTGAATTCTTTTTTTGAAAGAAACAACTTTTTAAGTGTATCACAATTTGGATTTAGAAAGGGCAAGTGTACATCAGACGCAATAGATAAATTGATTAATGAGGTACTAATGGTCTTTGAGAGGAAGTCACTTGCTCAGGCCACTTTCTGCGACCTGAGTAGGGCTTTCGATTGTGTCGACCATGATGACCTAATAATGAAATTAAGTTTTTATGGTATCAACGGATCTCCACTTTCTTTTTTCAAATCATACTTAAACAATAGAATACAAAAAGTCAATATTGATGGAGAATGGTCCCAAGAATTAAAAATGAAATATGGCGTGCCTCAGGGATCTGTTCTAGGTCCTCTATTATTTTTAATTTGTATTAACGACCTCCCAGAATGTATAACCAGTAAAACTTATTTGTATGCAGATGATACAACATTTTTAAATATTAATCCCGATCTTAAACAACTTCAAGAGTTAGCTCAAAACTCAATCAATGAAGCTTCTATTTGGTTTGAATCAAATGGCTTCCTCTTAAACAAAGATAAAACTCAAAAAATTGTTTTTAGCCTTAGACCCTGTGAATCAAATATGTTGGATGGTTATGTAGACAATGTTAAATTTCTTGGTATTTATCTGGATAAGACCCTTTCTTGGGGAGATCATATAGATCATATAGATAAGTTCTAAGCTTTCAAGGGTAATTTGTCTTATAACTAAACTAATACATTGTATAGATCAAAATTATATTAAAACAGCCTACTTTGCTTATTTCCAATCCATTTTCAGATACAATATTATCTTTTACGGAAATTGCAGTAGGATAGAGGTAATTTTAGTCTTATTATTATTATCAATTATCAATTATCAATCATTAAGATGGGGACGCCTTACAATTTACAAAAGAAGTTAGTTAGAATCATATCTTGTGAACCCCAACAGGAACACTGTAAACCCCTGTTCATTCAGCTACAAATTCCAACAGTAATTAACATTTATATATTTGACTCTGTATCATATATTCTACAAAATCCCAACCTTATCAAACAAAATTCTCATGTTCATAATACAAGGAATAAAAACATGCTACCATAGATTTTTTTAGACTGTCTAAAACTCTTAAAAGTTAAATCTCACTAAAAATATACAACAAGCTAATACATTTAATAACAAAATATCCTAATAAAACTTTTAAATCTAAATTCTACAAATGGCTTTTGAACAACCCTTTTTATTCTCTAAAAGATTTTTTTGAAATGCCTTTTATTAATTTTTAAGTAGAGCTAGCAAATTTATCAAATTACTGTTGGATTTAGTTGGTTATGGGGTTTAATAACTTTCATTATTCTAAATGCCTTGCATTTTTCTGAACAATAAGATTATTTGGTTGTAATATTAAAGTATGTATTGTAACATGTCTCCTTGTGTGTAGTATTCTTGTAAATATTGTAGGCCTATATTGTATTCATTAACTGATGTGTCGTTTATTTCTTGTTTGTTTGTTTACCTTTTCAAAAGGTATGTTTTGTCTTACTTTCAATTTAAATGTCAATATTTTATTTACTCTGTTTATATTTAATACTTAATTTCATTAAGCTACAGATCTTGTGGGCTGTTCTACAAATAAAATAAACGTTCACTTGTTTATAACAAATTAATTTATTAATACAAAAAGGAAAAGTTCAATTGGTTAGAGAGTATTAAACATTCATTTGGGCGAATCTTAAATCTTCAAGATAGTTCTTTAGATCAACTAGCCTAACTTATAATAAGTTATGTAATATGGCCTAATTAATTTTTAAATCTTATCTGGTGTAGTAGTGTAGTAATGAGATGAACGTAGCCGGAC